AGCGCGAGATTTGGACCGCCTCCACCGGTCTTCTGGCCCACTGTGCGCGCTGTGGCGCTGTGCGCTCGACCGACGGAGCAGCTCGGGACTTGCGCTGGCTTGCAGGAGCGCGCAACGTGCCGCAGGTCGTGGAGGCCGTGTTCGCCTACATCGGCATGCTGCGGGTGTCCATGGCGGCTGAGGGGCCGGACGCGCCGCCGGAGCGCCTCTTCCGCGAGGTGCAGACCATCGAGAACATCGACTTCCTGTTCGGCGAGGAGGAGTCGGCCGCCGACTGGGTGGAGATGCTGTCCATCAACATGCACGTGTACCCGCCCCAGGAGTACATCACCGGGCCCAAGCTCTACTTCGAGTTCGACGGCAAGGTGCGTCTGGCGAGTGCCGTGGCCTCGGCGTGCCGTCGGCCCCCCTCCGCCCCTCCAAACCGTCAACGCCACTGACTCTAAGCCCCTCGGACGCGCCGTCCCGTTGCCGCAGGCGGTGCGCGACTTCGTGGACCAGCTGCGCCCCGAGACGGTCAACGTCATGTTCATGTCGAAGAAGGCCCTGGGGGGCGCGGCGTTCGACCGCGTCGAGCCGTGGTTCCGCACGCCCTACAGCGTCAGGGACATTCCCAGCGCCTGGATGGACTCGTGGCGCCACGCCACCCACGCCGGCCACGCCAAGCACAACAGCCGCTTCTTCCTGCCCGAGCCCAACAGGTGACCCTTGTGGAGTCGAAAACAGGCTAGTTTGTATTTTCGTTTCATTTTTATTTATTTCCTGTTTTCTTTTTTCACTTCCAAAGTTGCAGTTTGTGAGAGATCCCTTGAAAAACAAAGTTTTGACTTTCCTTTGCTGCACGGAATGAAAGTGCGCATGAGTACGGGGAGAAGTGGCAATGGCGGGCAAGAGGAAAAGCGGGCTCATGAGAAAGGCGATACTTGCCGTCCCCCCTAGCACGCCACGCGGGAGGGGGTGGGGTGGCGTGGGTTGTGGTGGCCGTGCGTTGTGGAGGTGTGACGTGACACGACGCTGCTAAGCCTCTTAGGGCAGCGGCGCGCTGGCGACTGGACTGGCCGCCTCGCCGGCGAGACAGGTGGCGGCCTGGAGGGCCTGGAGCTGGAGGGCCTGGAGCTGGAGGATGGAGAGCTGAAAGAGAATCCTTTTCGCCTGCCTGGCTGTAGACCGATTACGTGATTCGTTTTTTTTTCGCGCTGTCTCTCTTGCGCTCACGGGGTGTCCCGTGCAGGTGCGAGAGAGACAGAGCGACGAAAACGACTCTCGGGATCGGTCTACCGGTGGCTTGGCGGGGCTGCTGGGCGCTGCTGGGCGCGGCGGGGCGGAGAGAGCGGAGAGAGAGCCTCCCCGCGGAAAGCGCGTCGCGGGCGCGGCGGGGCGGAGAGAGCGGAGCGGAGAGAGAGCCTCCCCGCGGAGAGCGCGTCGCGGGCGCGGCGGGGCGGAGAGCGCGGAGAGAGCCTCCCCGCGGAGAGCGCGTCGCGGGGGCGGGCGCGTTGCCGCGTGCAAACCGCGCGTGAAGAGCGCCGCTCGGCAAATTGGTCTCCCCGGCCTCTATTTATAGATTCCTCCCTAGAAGATAACCAGGTCGAGGGTGAGGCGAGGCGTGGCGGCGGGGCGGTCCACGCTCCATGACCTGGATTGTAGCGGGGCGGGGCGGGCGGGGGATGTAGGGCGCGGAGCGGGGCTTAGCGTTATACTTTGGGAGGCAGGACGAGAGGCTCATGTGCTTTGGGCGGTGTCGTGTTGGACGAGGAAAGTCCATGTCTCGCGTGTCCCGGGCCAGGGTCAGAGCCACAGGGCCCGGGCCACGGCCAGGGCCACCGGCCCGCAGTTTAATCCCGCTGCAGGTTTCTGACGACAGACTTCACGCCGCTGCCGCTGATCGGCAAGCCGACGGGCGCCGCGGCCACGGCCAAGTACCCCGCGCGCATCCTCCACGACGGCGTCCTGGAGGTGTGGTACCGCCGCGACGACACCTTCCAGCTGCCCGTCGCCTTCCTGTACTTCCAGCTCGTGTCCCCGCTCCCCATCAAGTCCCTGCAGAACGCCGTGCTGCTCGACTTGCTGGCAAGTGGCGCACTGTGGGCCAGAAGACCGGCGCCGGCGGCCAAAACTTTAGACGCGTTTTGTGGTCCAGAGTCGCTAAGTAGGACTCCTACCGAACGTGTGACCCCACCAATGGATTCCTCGTTCGGAGAGCAATCCATTGATGGAGTCACACGTTCGGTTCGAGTCCCATTTAGCGACTCTGAAGCTCAAAACGCACTTTTCGTCAAAGCCTTACATTTAATTTTTATCTGTGTTGGTGTCAACAGGTGACGGTTCTGAAGCAGCAACTGGTCGAGGAGCTGTACCCGGCTGAGATGGCGCTGCTCAACTACTGCGTCTACTCCAACGAGAAGGGCCTGGTGGTGCGCGTCGAGGGCTTCAGGTGCTCGACGTCCATTGCCTCTTCCGCGTTGCCCGGCCTTGCCCGGCCTTGCCCGGCCCCACCCCGCGCGACCACGTCTTGGGGGCTCTGAGGGTGACCAGGGTGACCCCGTGACCGCCTCCCCTTCTGCCAGCCAGAAGCTGCCGCTGCTGCTCGACACCATCTTCGTGCAGCTGTCGCGCGTGGCGGGCCACGTGGACGCCGCCCTGTTTGCCGCCATGCAGGAGAGTCTCCGCCGCCTGTACCACAACACCTTCGTCAACCCCACCAAGCTGGCCAACGAGCTGCGCATGTCGCTACTGTTGCAGGTACACTTCTTTATTGTTGTTGTTTTTGTTGTTGTAGTGGCTGTTACAAGGCTGGCCCAAATTAGACTATGTTGTGCTGGAGCACTCATGACTCCTGACATTATTTCGAGAGCCATTTCGTTCCCGAAAAGCGCCGGAAAGCCAAAAGCGCCGGAAGAGTAGGCAACCCATCGTCCACGGCCTCCCCACCGCACTAGTACTCATCCAGCGTCACGGGAAAAGTCATTTTCACACCAAATAAAATATGTCAAGACCATTGGGCGCCCTTCGCCTTGAACTAGTGATTTATTGTGATTTGTTCGCTCATCCATGTCCTTTGTTTTTTGATTTGCTGTTCGCGCGGCCTAGGTGTACTGGACGCCCGTCGACAAGTACGGCGTCATCGCCCAGACGACGCTGGACCAGCTCAAGACCTTCGCGAAGGACTTCATGCAGCGCATGTACATCCAGTGCCTGGTGCAGGGCAACGTGAGCATGGACGGCGCGCTCAGCATCTGCCGCAAGGTCGCGGACACGCTTCAGTGCCGCCCGCTCAAGCCCAAGGACTTCCCTACGCTGGCTGTGTGCCAGGTACTGCGTCCGGTCCCATGGTGTAATGGTTAGCACTCTGGACTTTGAATCCAGCGATCCGAGTTCAAATCTCGGTGGGACCTGGTGTTTATTTTTTTTCCCTCTTCGCCTCTAAGTTCGTCATTGCTGATGGTGTTTTTGTTTTCCTGTCGATGAAGGTGCCGCTGGGCGAGCGGTGCTGCCGAGTGCGCACGTTCAACCCGGACGACAAGAACTGCAGCACCGTCAACTACTACCAGTGCGGGCGCGCCACCGTGCTCAAGTGCTGCATGTCGGAGCTTCTGGTGCAGCTGCTGGACGAGCCCGTATTCAACGCGCTGCGCACGCGGGAGCAGCTGGGCTACGACGTGACGTGCCAGCGCCGCACCACCTACAACACCCTCGGCTTCCTCATCACGGTAGTCGTCAGTCGTCGGCCTGACCGTCGGCGCGACGCCAGTGCCCATTGGACACAGTGGATTTGCTAGAAGACCGGTAGAGGCGGTCGAAACCCCGGACGCGTTTTGAGCTCCAGAGTCGCTAAATGGGACTCGAACCGAACGTGTGACCCCACCACTGGATTGCTCTCCGAGCGAGGAATCCATTGGTGGGGTCACACGCTCGGTTCGAGTCCTGGTTTGCAACTCTGGAGCTCCGAATGCGTCTAGTTTCGGCCGCCTTCAAGGACCTCCGCCCTGTGCCCCTCAGGTCAACTCCCAGGCGGACAAGTACACGATGGACCACGTCGACAGTCGCATCGAGGCCTTCCTGAGGGACTTCAGCCACGCGCTCAAGACGCAGTGCACGCGCCGCTTCAAGTTCGTCAAGCGGTCGCTGCGGGACGAGAAGGAGTGCGTGGACTTCGACCTCCAGGCAAGCCTGTGGCCTCCACTACACTGCCTCGGCCGCCTCGCCTCGCCGCCGCGAGCACTGCATGACGGTCTCTGAGGTGCACTGCGCAGGACGAAGTGTCCCGCAACTGGAAGGAGATCACCTCCAACACGTACATGTTCGACCGCGCTGAGCGGGAGCGGCAGTGCCTCAAGAACATCCGCCTCAAGGACCTGCGCAAGTGGTGAGCCCTTCCCCGCGCCCTGCCCCGCACCAGTCTCCGCACCGTGGCCTGAACCTCAACGCGCTTCGTGTGGCGCAGGTTCCTGGCCCACCTTGGCCAGGACACCCGGCGCAAGCTGTCCGTGCAGGTGGTGGGCAACCGCGACACCGGCGCCGCGGACGCCGAGGCGCCCGGGCCGTCCGGGCCGTCCACGCAGCCGGCCGTCTCCACCTCCAGCGGCGTGCGGGGCCGGCTGTCGTTCAGGTCGAGCAGCTCGGCCGCCCAGAGCACGGCGTTGGCGGCGGCGGCCGGCGGCGTGGCGGCGCAGCGGAGCAGCAGGCCGTCGCGCGGGGCGGCCGCGCAGTCGCAGGGCGGCGGGCCGTCCTTCAGCCTGCGCTACGTGCGTGCGTCCGACGCGCGCCCCGCCGCCTACTTCGTCACGGACGTGGCGGCCTACAAGAGGACCACGAGCGTCATCCACAGCCCGTGCTACAGCCCGTCGCCCGGCAGCGAGGTCCGCGCCACAGACGAGGACGACGACGGCGGCAGCGGCAACTCGACGTCCGCCTCCGCCCCGGGTCGTGGCGGGCAGTGAATGGCGTGGTCTTGAGTTCCAAACATTTGGCGAATACGGGCACAGGAAATAAAAATGCCAATATCCACAAGACACTACGTTTATTGCACCCAAGAACATGCCTTACAGTCACTAGTTTGGGGAAATACTGTAAAGATGAGGTTGGATTGCTTCAACTGTAGTCGTCTTTGTCATGAGAACAAGGACTGTTAGGCACATGACCAAAATGGCCATTGATACCATCAGGTACAGGCACAATCGATGCGTTCCTCAAGCTTACATTAAAACTCTTGTATAGGGTCAAAAATAACAATTTTTTTTATTATTATTATCAACAAGACATGTTCACACTTTCTCATTCCTCCTCTATCACACAGTATAGTACTATTGTATTTACAAATAAAAAATACATTCTTTCAGCTTCAACATAACATCCCACAAAAGACATACATATCTACATGGTAGGCAGTTCCGTCCTCAATCATGAGGAAATTAGTTACGAAAAACTCCTGCTCTAATGAAGTGCAAAGGCTCCGAAGATTTAAGAAATGCAAGACAATGCATCATTTAATTTTGATTCTATTTTTAACTGCAATTCTGTTTTCTGCTTGTTTTCATACTTTGAAAGCTCAGTGCATTTTTTAAAGTAAGAGGAGAATATGAAAGGTAAATATTGCCACCAGACAGCACTAGCTCTAAGTCTGAACAGAATCACAGTAAAGCTTTTAACAATGCATCATGCTGCATTCAATTCCGACTTCTAAATCTATCGCCTTTTCTTAACATTAGGCTGTTCCGTAGGAACAATAATTATCTTCAGGCAAGTTATAATTCACATGAGTGAAACCATCCAATGTCCTAACCACTAATGAAGAATTCAAATTTGATGCTCTTCAAATCATATTCACTTATCTTTGTCATGATGATTATCAAATGGAAGAACACACACAATGGGCTTGGAACATGTTGAGTTTCAAAATTGTTAGAACATTCAGAGCACCAAGGAAGGATCTTCATTATTGTTTGAACATTGCTAAACTTTCTCTTCTAGACAGGAAAATAAATAAGTCACAAAAATAGGCAAAACAATGAATTGCAGATGATACCAGGTTAGAACATATCAAGCTGGCACAGCAGAAAGGCATCTGAATTGACATTCACACTAAACAAAAAAAAGGAGAAAGAAAAGAGAAAGCAATCTACATCAATCCTCATCACACACTGCTGTACACTGAAAAGAAAAACAAGAAAAAAAACAATCTGGCCTGATCAAAAAAGCTTTACTTCCTAGAAAAAGAATTGTTAAGTACAAATTTTTTTGATCAGGTCAAACTGTTTCTCCTAATGTACCAGTAGAATTAAGATAAGATAAGAATGTTAAAGGAATAGGAAAGTGAATCTCCAATAGCACTGAAGTTACATTAAAACCGACAAATGCAGAGAAATGATAGAAAGTATTTAGAATTTCTGTTACAAAGCACAAAGATCTTTCAGAACATAGGAACGTATTGCAATACAAATTATAAGAGATGCAAGTTATTTGACTGATGATCATTAAAAGCAGTTAAAAAATTTGTTAAAAGCTTTGACGGTACATGCAACTCAAGATTCTTCTCTTTACTTTAACTGTTCCATTTAACACCCTGTATTCCTGAAGTTCGGCTTCCTCAAATATGATCACCTTCATAAATGACATGCGTAAACAATTTCTAAAGACCTCTGTCACATACACTAAAAAGTATGTGATGAAATCACATTGCACAAAAAGGACTCTAAACAAGAATATTCTCATTAAAAAAAAAATCTTTGTTCATAAATTTAATGCTTAAGGAAAGGATCACATCTCATTAAACTACATTGAAAATAAATAATTTTAAAAACCTCAAGAATGAAACATGCTTTGACTGATTGAAATCTATGTTTAGATCATAAATATGCAATAAATTAACAGAGGTACATCTCCAAATATGTAGATGCAATAACATTAACACACTTAGTAACATACTCAAATTTTGAAGACAGGTTGCAGAAGATCAGATCAGTACAGAAAATTTGAGCCCCCTTAGTGGAAATTGTCAAATTTGTATGGATTAATTAACACACAGTTATAATATTTCCATACTCAACATGATATGAAACAATGGGTTTATTATTTTCATTTTACCCTGCACACACATTAGACAGCCCGGTTGAATACTGTTTGGTAAGATATCCAAATCTGCCTTAGTCATAGTCAACAGGGAAATCTACATAATTTACCATTACACAATACTTCAGGCAGGAAGAAGCCCCACAAACTTAGTAGCTTCCAGGACTATGGTCACCACACATCTTTAACATTTCCATTGCACCATCTAAGGTTCACCTATTCCCTGCATTCTTAAGCAGTATATATATTTGGTCAAAGAAAGTCCCAATGGCAATACAGATTATTGTAACAACTTCAAACAACAATAGGAAAAAGGTCCAATATCTACACAATAAAATTGTCAACAGCTCTATAGTTTAAAGAGATTGGTAGTAAAGTACCTCCCACATGACAGGGGACAAACTATCAAAATGAAAAAGAAGAAAAAAACAATAAAGAAGTCAAAAGGTGTGAGATATCACAAAAAGAGTGGTTGCTTTACATGCCTTCTCCATAGTCTCTATCCCCTACATTGATGCGGTCAGGGGCAGCTGTGACACTAAAGCCAAGAATGCTCTTGTCAACTTTGAACATTTTCCCTTTCTTTGCTTTCTTGCTTTTACCCTAAAAAAGAGAAAATGATTCTCATTATTTAAGAGGTCAGCACTAATGTGGTCAGCAAATTTGATGAGAAATATCGAATGTGTTCCTACCTTGACTTCCTGGAAGTCGTGGCTTGCTTGCTGGGAAACAGGGTTTACGGCGGGTGCTGGCGCGCACATGTCATCAGCCGCCGGCTTGCTTCGCCGCTCACTACGCCACTTGCTGCGACGCTCCAAAAATTGACGGGCAAAGTCGCCAACACCTTCCCCTTCCCCTAGATATTGACGTACATAGTCCTTCACTTCGTACGGCGATTCAATATCTCGAAGGAAGCCCACGAATGTTGGAACTGAAAAGGAGAGAAAGAACTCATTGAAGGAACACACTCGGCCAATACATCGTACTTAGAAAAGTGGTTGTAAATTTAAGGAACACACTCGGCCAATACATCGTACTTAGAAAAGTGGTTGTAAATTTAAGTGGAAACTTACTATCAACAGAGGGCTGCAGGGAAGCAAGAGCTTTGTGGCACCACTGACTGAATTCATCTGAACGCTGGACAGACTGCTCAAACAACTTCAGAACACTAGCTTCTTCTTTCTTTTTCTTGTTAGCGCTGTTGGAGGACTTTGCAGCTTGTTGACCAGCAGAAGCCACATTAGAGGCGCTAGCACTTTTAACAGGAGTCTTCTTGGCTGGTGGAGCAACCGGCTTCACCGGTGATACAGCAGGGCTTGGAACTTCATCCCAGAACCCAGGTCCAGCTGCGAGATTTAAGAAATTGTGGTTTAGGAGACAATATAAAACAACACAATGAGTACAAAAAATTCTGCAACATACTGGTATTTCCCCAAGTAAGACTCTGAGGGGCAGAGCCCCAAATGCCCACTGATGGCGCAGGGACGTCACGAGTAGAAGCAGCCCTTTCTGCCCTTTCTGCACGGTCCCTTTCCAGTTGCTGTAAAAGAAACAGGCGGGGGTGAACATCAACAATTGAAGGTGATGCAGTAAACACGCCAAGATCAAACTTGAAATAATTGGGACATACCTTGGCAATTCGTTCTTGTTCTTCTCTTTGAATCTGTTCCAGTGTTTTTGCCTCTGGGGGAGGTTGGTTTTTCCTTTCAGCCCACTTAAGCTGCATCGGTGCAGGACTAGCTTGATTTTCAGCAGCAGCTAAAGAAGATGCAAGCATAGCAGAAAGCTGATTTTGTTGATTCTGTTGCTGTATTTGCTGAAGAATCATCTGCTGTTCACGTAGCTGCTCATCCTTCTCTCGTTTCTGATTACGTTGGATCTCAGCCAGACTAAGGCTAGTCTGTTGGACAGTTTGTTTAGAAGCCTGAGGCTGACTCCACGGAGCAACTTTAGCTGTCTTGATAGCAGCTGCAACCTGTGCTTGTTTCTGTTGTTGCTCTTGCATTTTTCGCAGAGCTTCAGCTTGTTGGCGTTGAATTTCAGCTTTCTTAGCTTGCTCCTCTGCTTCTCTAGCTCTTTGCAACCTCTCTTCTTCCTGGCGCTTCTTCTCCTCCTCTTCTCTACGCTTCCTCTCTTTCTCTTCTTCCTTTCTTCTCTTATCTTCTTCTTTCTTTCTCTTGTCTTCTTCTTTCTTTCTGGCAACCTCTTGACGTTTGGCTTCTTCCACTTTTTTACGATCTTCTTCAGCTTTCCGTTGTTCGTCCTTTCGCCTGGCTTCTTCCTCTTTCCGCTTAGCTTCTTCGGCCTTTTTGAGTTGCTTCTCAGCTTCAGCAGCAGCTGCTGCCTCTTCTGCCTCTCTTCTCAAGCGGACATCTTCTTCAAGGCGTCGCTGATGTTCTTCATGTTCTTGCTTCCGGAGAAGTTCGTGTTTCTTTCTTTCCTCTTCAACTAACATTTGCTCTTCCAATATTTGTTTTTCAGTCTTCATCTCCTTATTATTAATATCGCCCCAAAGTGAGGCTGTCGATGGGGGTAACATGGGTCCACCTCCAGCTCCCACAACAGGAGGGCGTACACCACCAAGCCATCCCCCTTGATTGTAGACAGGTAGAGGGCTTCCCCACAAAGAATCTCCCTGCATAGAACACAAAAAGTTAGCTAAGCCAAAAAACAGAACTACAAATAATCTGTCAAATTCAGAAACACGACCACTAACCACTGCCTGGTGATGGGCAGCCTGATGGTGAGCTGCCTGTTGGTGGTGCTGCTGTTGCTGTTGATTCAACTGCCTCAGAAGGCTTTGAATAGGATCTGATGGCAATGGTTCATTGGCAGGCTGAGGTGCTGGAACTGGAGTTGGCGGGGGCGACAACCTTGATGATAAGCCGCCAATTTGTTGAAAGAATTGTTGTAGTGGGCCCAGGGGCTGGCCAGGCTGTTGTCCAGGACCTTCCTTACCCTGCAGAGGCAAAACAGATATTCAACGGAATTCATTTGCAAACTAGGGCAGATAGAAGAGCAGAGCAAGATCTTACCAACGGCATGCGTTGAGGTGGTTGCTGCTGTTGCGGTGGGATCTGCGGAGGGGCTTGTTGCTGTTTCTGTTGAAATTGTGTCATCAAGGCCATCACAGAGTTAGGAGTAGATGCAGCAGGTATGAGTGGTGGCCCAGCATCCATGGACGCCATTTGGATGTGCTGCACGTGTTGTGCCACAAGCTGAAATCATATTTCAGTATTATGTTAAGCAATTGATAATTTGGAAATTTCAAAATTTTGGGCCAGTGATTATGTCAACTACCTGCTGCTGTTGTAAGGGAGAGAGTGTATTCCACTCTTCTGTCTGTGAGAGTTTGCTCACCGCAGCTGCTGCAGCAGCCTGCGATTGTTGTCTAGAAGCAAAGATAATCATTAGTCTTAATTGCACAAACAATTAAGAAAAACAACTTTTGCAGAGGAGTTTTACAAGAAATACCTAAGAAACATTTGCTGTTGCATGACTTGATACTGATGCTGCTGCATCATCATTTGAATGTCAGGTTCAACACCTGGCACCCCAGGTACGCCAGGCACTCCAGGCATGCCAGAAACCCCTGGAACTCCAGGGAGTCCAGGCATGCCTGGAAGGCCTGACATAGGTAATTTTGGCATGGCAGGCCCAACAGGCATACCCACACCAGGTGTAGGCATCATAATAGGTTCAGCACCCTAAAGGATGAAAAAAAATGTGTTACACAACTGATACTGATAACATAATTAGAAAGAGAATCAGGAATATAAAATACCTTAACAGGTGGCACGTTTGCATCTGTCAAGAAGGGGATGCCGCCAAAAACTTTAATAAGATCTTGAAGCTGTGAGAACCTTTCATCTTTAGCACGCCTGACAAGAAGATTAAGGTTGAAGTAACCCAATCTAAACCATTCAGACATCTCTTCAGATGAGAATGGTCCTGTAAAAGGGAAGTCATAGTTGATTGATACGCACACCAAACAACTGCAAAACTGCATTAATTAAGACAGAAATGCATACCTTGCACTTGGCCTTGTGGATCTCTATAGAACCATTTTTCAGGTTCCCGAACATGAGCCGCAAGGTGAGGAAGATGGTGATGGTTCAAATCATCACGTATGGGACCTTCTTCCTCTTCCATTAATTTAGCCACAAGATCATCAGCAACTTCACGCATCCTATCCAAGGCATCCTCTGACTTGTGTGCTGTGCAACAATTTGGAACAAGTTAATTTTTGAAAAATAAGACAGGGGCTAGATTTAAACTAATAGGTAAATTTAAGACAAACCTTGAGGAGGAGGACGTCTCATGTCAACATGGTTTTCATGGGGAATATTGTTTGGCACACTAATGGCTGGCATGGAGGCTGATGTAGTCAGAGGGTTGGGAAGTTCAGATGGGTGAGGAGGGACTTGAGGTTCCTGCTTGACTGGAGGGGTTGGCTTAGGACTGGCTACCTTCAACTTCAGATCAGGATCGCTCTTGGAATTGTGCACAGGTTTCACAGGAGTTGAGTTTTGGCTTCTTGGGTCATCATTTCGAGGTGGAGTAGAAGGTGAAGTCACTCTGGCATCATTCTGTTTGTCCAAATACGGCGTAAGCTTTTCGCTGACTCTTTCAGCAGATGCTCGGTCAGTGGCCACAACGCGTCTGAGGTTAGCATTAGAATTACCATCGCCAATTCGCTTGCCACCACTATTTCCTTCTGACAGCAATCGAGTGCGCCTCAACACACTATTATTGACAGGGCCACCATTCTGTAATAATAGGAAAAATTTAATTTTCTCTTTCCTACCCCTCAATAAGTTCACCCATTAACAAGGGTGGAAACTTACTTCTTCCTCATCAGAGTAATTATGTCCCCCATGGAAGGCACCCTGGGCATCAAAGCTGCCACTGCTATTATCAGCTCCATCAACAGCCCTAGAAAGGCAACAATCAGTCATTACCACGAAACAGATCATAGTAAGACTCAGGACAAGCCCATGCCATTAACACATATGCACATTGCTAGACAGAAAATGAAAATTACTAACCATTCTGGTAAGTTGTTAGATTGTTCCCAGGGCCGATGAGTCCGATTGTAAACAACCCTTCCTTCTCCCGGCTCCCTTTCACTATCCCTTTCTCGATCACCGTCGCGCCAACTTGTTGTTCTGGCTGCCCCACCAGCTCCTGCTCCACCCCATTTCTCTTTCACTGGAGTAGTAGAGGCTCTCCAGCCATCCTCTTCTTCAGATGTACGCTGACGCCGCCAATTATTATCAGTGTTAGAGAAACTTCTCGGCCCAGAACTGCCCCCACTTCCCAACACCCGATCACGTTCATTGAAGTCCTTCCTGGGACTCGTTGAACTCCACTCACTAGAGTCCAAACCATTTCTTTCTCCCCAGCTCCTCTCAGCCTGGGAAAAGCAAGCAAAGTCAGTCTACACTGAAGACACAACTAATCAGCCAGAACATCTAGAAACACATACCTGTGGTCGGTCAAATGGACGTGTGGCTCGATTATACCCTACTGGAGATGCACCCAGATGGGGTGGACCAGCAGGGGCATCACCACCTTCCTCAAAGCTCAGGCCACGAGAGTAAGTAGTAAAACCACCACGTCCTCTACCACGACCCCTTTCAGACAGCCCCACTGCTCCAATGGACCCACCCCTACTTCCCCTTATACTGGTGGCTAGTGTAATGGGTGGAGTCTTGCCCATTGCCCTCAGCACTGCATCACTGTTGATGCCTCTATTCCAATGACGCTGCAAGAAAAGCATATTATAGTGGGCATGCCCAACTAAAAAAATGGCCATTTATTACAAAAATACTTAAGGTCAACGCTTACTGTTTCTTCCTCCGTCATCTGAACAAGTGCCAAAGGAACTTGAGTTTTGTCTACATGTAGACCGGGGAAGGATGCCAAAGGATCTGGAGCCTTGACTACAGTGTCAAAAAGGGCCAACATTTCTTCACGGCCATAGCGATGTTCTGCCAGCTGATACCGAGGCGATGGAGTAGTTGGTGCAGCACAACCATCTTGCCCCATGTTGCGTAGCCTAAGAAAAAAAAAATGCCAAGGACGACAGTAGGATTATTGCCAACACAAACAAAGAAATATAAAAATTACAAGGCATATACTGACCATTCAGGCCCAAACTTCATGGAATCAGTCATTTTCACAATGCTCTAGAAAAAAATAAGAGAGATAAAAATTAAAATTTAATGAAAGGCAAAGGTTTTCAGTTTACTTGTATTTCTTTCATTCTATAGATATTTGGAAACAAAAAACCAAAGCCTAAACTGGTAAAGCTAACTTGAACCAGAGAACTGATTGCAAGTTTTAAATAAAATTGACGTACATGACAGCTCCAAACAAGAAACTGAGCCAACAGCGAACACGTAAAAGGAAGGATCGCAACGGAAGGGTAGTCGAAGACCGCCTGAAAACACACAACACAACAATTCTTGAAATATTTTAAGACACAAACAATATATTTAAAAATACATCAAGTACACAGTGATTCCAAAATCTACAATCTTAAGTATTCTTCAACAAAACAAAGTAAAGATCATTATTTACAAAAATATCTAAGGGATGTGCACGCCCGAACATGCCCATCCGAAAATATTTTTTGACGCAAGTAGATCTAGTAATGAAGGAACTAGAATCTGGCGAAACTGACACGAAGCAGAATAAATTATTACAGAGGAATTTCCATTCAAGAAGTTAAAATATGCGAGGTGCTTGTTCCTTTGTTTAGGTTATTCGCCGTGCCGTGTGTATACAAAGGGCTGATTACTGCCAAGTTTTGGGAGAAGGTGGAAACCACGCCGGATCCACATTTCATACATAAATGTGACCATGCAGAAAAACATGCGTGTGACGCGAGCGTATATTTATAATTCTAGTTTTCCGCACAGCCAAGGTGGCACACAAGGCCTGACCTGGCAAGGATGGCTAAAGCACCCTTGTATGCTTATATACTTGACGAGCAGTCAGTAATGAGAAATATGTATTTTCATGAAGCTGGGCTATTAACTGTATTAAACAATGTCAATATCATAGTGACAAAGTTAAAACAGAGGTGTCAGTACCTTTTTTTCTCCAAACACAAGAGAACAAGAAACACACACCAATATGGCCGAAACACAGGATGAAAACGCATGCGCCGTAATGAATGAAATCACGTGACTTCAGGTGCGCCAATACACTCGTAGTAAGATCAGGACAACAGAGTTTCGGGCTAGAAAAACATTGCCATGAAATGATTAATCATCATCCAAAGCTCATGATTTTCATTGAAAGTCCATGAACTTATGAAACTGGCATTATTTAGAAAATTCATTTTTGGAGAGAAATGTTTGTTATGTTGGACTGTGTTCAAGGCACAAAATTCGAAACTGAAAAAAAAAATATCAACCAAAAACAAGTATTTCTGTGGTACTTGCATCAAAAGTAGGTGAAGTGTGAATCTTATTGACGTTAAGCATAATAATTTGATGAAATTCTGCTGCCTTTAAGGTCATTTATGTTCGGTTAAGGATTGGTGATTTGTTTACATAATTAGTTCAGGGAAAGTTGGTAGCTCGGAGGCGGTTTTCTGACAAATTATGAACTTGTTATGAACCAGCTAATTTTCATTTCCATTTTCTCGCTTCTTCTTGTCTGTCTAGAACTGATGTTAAGAGGGAAGTTGAAAGCGCTTCAGAGTAACACAGAGAAATGACAGAGCAAACTTATTTATTTTATACAAGTTACAAAATTTGTTAAATATTCTTATAAAATATATGATGTCAGTAAAACTCAATAAGGATATGTTGTCATTTTCTTCACATAGGAACAAAAAAAATTACAAGGAACATTTGCTTAGATACTACATCAATATATCAAAACTTCACACTGTTTACTGATGAAGAAGTCATTTAGTAAAATGTGTTTTGTACAAATACAGTGACACCAATATTAATTAATTTAACAGTAAGCTAATTGCGATGGAGCAGTTATATTCAAGTCACAAAACAGTACTTGCCCCACAAAAACACTTTTACATGTTGGAAAAATATTCTGGTCGAGAATGCAAGGAACAAATTAAAATGAGATTCTTTTTGGGAGTGATTTTGTGACTAGTATATGGTCTTTCTAAAAGAAAATTTCCTAAAATACACATGCTTTAAGTTCTCATGGAATCAGTCTCACTAGGATAATCTCCAAGTTCATATTGGCACCCTAGAATTTTTCCAGAAAGTAACAATCCTGGAAAAGTCTAGGGGTCTACAAATGAAATCATTATATAGCGGGTTCCATTTGTAACTGGAAGCCCTTCATGGAAATGAGTAAGTCGCCCTGGGTGCATTAGCATCCAACCAAGTCGCGTTTTTGAAACACTACAATTGTATCGCAGGAAGCGGCAGCCACCACCCTTAAAGAAAAAAATAAAACATAAATTAAACCAAAGAGAAGAACCAAATAAAAAGAAAATTAGTCATTTAAAAATAATTCAGTCATACCTGATAATCTACTTCTGGTGTATTCAAAGCAATGTTGATTGTATATGTGGATGAGTCATGATGAGGTCTGAGGGAGGGCTGCTCATCAGGGCGGTATCGTACAACAAAGTTCATGATTGCTCGAGGAGTCTGTAGAGGATTAAAACAACTGTTAGCAGGATATTTGCGAGAAAAAAATCAGAGTATTTATCTTTATTTGCAGTTGCAGTGATAGGTGGTATGTAGTGCTAATGCGGATTTCATTCATTTTTTTTTTTCAGATTTTTTTAGTGCTGTGAGAAAGGATGCATGCATACTCATTATTGTGGGTGCTAGATGCTGAGTGCAATTACTAACTGCGTGAGACTGAAAAAAAGGTAATTTCTTTGAGAGTGACCACCACCTCATTCACAAGATAAAATGTTACAAGTGCAACCATTTGTTTCCCATGTCTAGTTGCAAATAACAAAGAGGGATAATTTAGATTTGATGACTCTATTGTATCTAAAATACCCAGAATCTACTCGATGTCTTACATCATCATAACCAATGAATACAGCCTGCTGCAAGGGCTGTACGTATTCTTCCAAAAAGAAGTCCCACAGGTCAGCTAGGCCAACCTGCCTCATGTGTATGTCTCTGGTAGGGACTGCCTCATAGCCACCATCGAGCCGTGGGTCCTGGCAGCACAATATTGTGAAGAGGATTTTACAAGAACATAGACAAGAGCATCGCACCATGAGCAGCATGAGCTTAAGCACCTCAAATGCTCATCACACTTAGGCAAGAAAGGGAACTCGGATCCACTGCAGCACACACCACCTAGCATCTGTAAAGTTTAGTACATACTTCGTTGCTGTAACCTGTGAAAATTTTCTCCACTAGTGGCTTTACATAAGACTTCAGGAATTCCATCCATTGGGGTTCAAACCCAACCTGATTCATGTGAATGTCCCTAGTGGGGACATTTTCATATCCACCTGCCAAACGCTCATCCTGGAATTTCAATTGATGTTAAATAGACAGAAACATGAAAAAAAATGTTGTTAATTGTTTTTGAGTGTTTAAAGATTAAAGTATTAAAAATCTGGATAAAATATTAATACAAGTAAAAATATACCACAGCACATAATCATCACAACAATTTATCAACTTATTACAACCTATTAATAATACCTTGTTTGAACCATCAGACCACTTTCCATGGTTTTCCATAATTGCAACCAACTCATCGCAGAAACGAGGGGAGACAATAGGCAACCAATAAACATCTGGACATGGCTGAAAAGAGAAATGTTACAATAATTTTAAAAATATCTAGAAAGAACAATAGATACACCATAAAGTTAGAATTTAGACAAAGCCCTACCTGCAGAGGCGTAGTGTTGGGATCAAGGGCGTTAGCATAGTCAGGATGAATATAACGATGCTCCCAGTCCCAACGATTGTCAAGTAGAGAATAAAAGTCAGGATGTTTGCGTGTTGTGTCAAAGTTCTCTGTATTCACCAAGTGTCCAAAGTCATGAAGATTAGACACAAACATGAAATTTCCCTGCAAAGAGCACAATGGATGTTTTAATTAAACAAGTAACACATGTTATTTTTCAAAAATTAAAAAAAAAAACGAAGAAATAAAAGAGATGATTACCTTTTCCCTCAGATTGTGGCAGTATGCCATGTCAGGGTCTAGAGAGTCATGGTGGTAGGAGGCCCTGGCCTCTCGGTCCGCCAACAAAGTTGCATTCACCAAATAACAGCTGCTGATGTACGGCACATTCCACAGGCCCCTGCAACAAAACAAGTACCAAGCGTTATTGAGATGAGATGCACCCTCCAAAGGGACAACGCGCCGTTCGGGCCACCAACTACCAACGTGTGTGCGTAGCGTTTGTGATTGTGTTGGTGTGGGTGGCGGAGGACGGTGGAGGGAAGCCCAATGAGTGCTCTGCTTGACACGTACGGCGGGGGCCTCTATGGTCAGCAGGGGGCCGTCACTTGCGGTTGGGGAAGGGGGCGGGGGGGCGGGGGAAGGACGAGAGGCAGGCGGCGGGCTGCAGCAGGGCTGGAAGGCTGGAGTCCCGCAGGGTCGCAGGGCCGCAGGGGGGACAGGACTGTGGCGATAAACGACACACAGTGGGTCCACGGGAGGCCGTCGCGACGCGACACCACGCTAGCCCCGCCAGGCACGCTCCTGAACGCGCCAAACCGACAACCGACGCCGCCAACCGCCGCGCCTGGGATCGCCATCGCCTGCCCGCCTGCCCGTCGGACTAGTGCAGGTGCACCGCGCGGGCGCGCTCACGTCCAGTCCGCTCCAGCCGCATCCGACTGAGCGCGGCGGCCGCGGTACGGCTGCAGCTGGTGGCCCGTAGTGCTGCGGGGTGGTGATGGGGTTGTAGCCATGCGCGCCAAGGCCATGCTGGTGGTGCTGGTGGCGCTGGGGATGCTGGCGGCGGGCGTGGCCGCGCTGCGGGGCAGCGGCACGCGCGTCGGCAAGGGGCGCGGCATGCGCCACCAGTACAAGTCGCGCCTGCCCGTCCTGCTGCACAACAAGGACCCCGCCACCAGCCAGTACTACGAGCACCGCGACGTGAGTACACTGTGTATACACGCGGGGCGCGCAAAACTAGAGATTGAAAAGTTATGCATTTCATATGGGGTCTTCCCTACAAATAACTTTTCCATCTCCAGCCGTTTGCGAGATACAAAAATATCGTTCATTGCAAAAGTGTACTGGTCGCGCGCCCCGTACACATGCTGCATCCTGTTCACGCCGCTGCCCTTGTTGTTTCACGGGTTGACCTTGTCCTTCGGCGACAGGGGGCTCGGGTCATCAAGTCGTCGCACTTCGAGCTGGACTACATGCTGGGGAGGAAGATCACCTTCTTCTGCATGGCCAAGGGCTTCCCCCGGCCCGAGATCACGTGGTTCAAGGACGGCATCGAGCTCTACTACCACAAGTTCTTCCAGGTAAGAGGGGCGGGTCCAGAGAGAGGAGGGGGAGAGGGAAGGGGGGGGGGGGAGTTGCCTATCTACAGGGGTAACAAAGGGGTAAGGTGCAATTTGTACCCGGTGCCGTAAACTGGGGTAGTAAGAGACAACTTGGGGTAATATGAGACGATGTTGGGGTAACTTGAGACACACTTTAAACCCCCGTTTGGTCACTAAGAAGGCTAGAATCAGGCTAGAACTCTATGTGTCTCAAATCACCCCGAAATTCTCTCACATTACCCCAGTCGACCCCAGTGATATTGGCGACGCTGCCGCATGCTGCTGCAGGTGCACGAGTGGCCGATCGGCAACGACACCATCAAGTCCAAGATGGAGATCGACCCCACGACGCAGAAGGACTCCGGGTTCTACGAGTGCCAAGCCAACAACCAATACGCAGTGGACAGCAGAGGATTCAGAACAGATTATGTAATATGCACAAACACGATGGTTGTTCTTTTAAGGGCTTTACGCTAAAAATTAAAAAAAATGTGATTTTTTTTTACAGGACACGCCTTTATAGGCTATTGGAGGCACGGCATAGGAGCTTGACAACAGAATAAAACAAAGTACTATGTAACAAAATATTGAATCAATAAACACCATTGCACGAGTAATACAGTAGTTTCTCCTCCTGATCCCATCCACTGCAGACCAAAAGTTCCTCGAGAGAGCAGAACTACATGGCCACAAAGAATGCAAACAATCTCAACCAAATTGGCTACTGAGAAAATAATAAACGTTCTAAGTCCCAAAGAGATGGTTGGTTTATTTAGAGTTGGCAACAAACATCTCAGAAAACATCTTTCGATTAACAAAACACCGGAACCTACCCAAAAACGTGTAGACACGTTTTTTTTTGTGCGGGGGGAAGTACCACGGGAGAGAACCGGAGGAGGTGAAGAAGCAGGGGAAAGTACCATGGAAATAAATCAGAGGGAAGTACCATGGAGAAGTATCGGGGGAAGTACCATGGGAAGGAACCGGAGGAGGTAGCGCGGTGAAGAGGCAGGTGGAAGTACCATGGAGGAGTGTCAGGGGGGAGACGGACGCGGTGGAGCACCCGGAGTCACGGCGATTGCTTTGCGGAAGCAACACGGGGAAGTATCGGGGAGAAACGAGTAAGCACTAGAGTCCTAAAGGCGCGACGACAGCGCCACCCGGCGGGACACGCGGATCGCCACACCTAGCGTCCTAGCGTCCTGGGGGACGGAGGGCGACAAGCCTTGCGACAAGCCCCCTGCCGAGAGGGGGGCCGGGCCGAGGCGCACCGCCCGCACCGGGCTCCCCAATTGGAGACTGACATTGTGCAAGGGTAAATGAGACAAACAAATGACCGCGCTTTCGGCGTCACCATGTCACCTCAGCGAGTCCAGCGAGTCATTATCAGGGGGACGGCTGGGCTGTCGCCGCTGTCGCTAGCCAAAGTGACCGGCCGGGCGGATGGACCGGGATGGACAGCGAGGAGACGGCCTCCTTGAGGACGTGCGCACCCGCGCCACCCGCGACGGCTCCAGGTCCACGCCGCGGCGGAGGAGGCTGGAGGGGCAGGGGGAGCCGCCACCAGCGGACTCATCCAAGAGTCGTTTTCGTCGCTCTGTCCCTCTCGCACCCATACGAGACGCCCCACGGGTGCGAGGGAGACAGAGCGACGAAAGCGACTCTCGGAATCAGTCTGCAGGGGTCCGTCCACACCACACAGACACACACACCCGCGAGAGGAAGGGCCCCATTATTTCGCGTTGCGAGCCGGTGCGAGGGGCGGGGGGTGGGGGCGGGGTGGGGGCGGGGGTCACGGCGGGGTGGCGTATCATCGCGGCACGGCTTACGGCTTTCGCAAAGCAGTCGCAGTAGCATCCTGCAGCGGGGCCATTGCACAGGCATTGCCGTTCAACGAGTGGCAGCACTGCGGCACTGCAGCGCGACCCCCAGCGTGCTCCGCAAGGCTCCGCAAGGCGCCGCGCACCGCGTCTCGAGTCCCAAGGTCCGCAGCCCCGAGGTCCCCGAGGTCCCCGAGGCAGCCATGAGCCGGCGCCTGGTGTGGCTGTGCCTGCTGCTGCTGGCCGCCGTCATGATGGGCCCCAGCGTGCACGGGCGGCGCGGGCGCGCCAAGACGCGGAGCCGCAGCAGGATGCAGATCGGGCTGCCCGTGACCGGCAAGTACCGCGACCCCGAGAGCGACCAGTACTACAACCACAACGGGGTGAGCGTCGACGTCCTCCTTTAGCAGGGACTTCCCTGGCGGGACTTCCCCCTAGCCGACCCCGGGGTCCTCCCCGTTTGCCTGTCGCAGGGCGCCAAGATCATCCAGGCCTCGCACTTCGACTATGAATACACGCTGGGGCACAAGATCTCGTTCGTGTGCGTGGCCAAGGGGACGCCGCGGCCGCAGATCACCTGGTTCAAGGATGGCGTCGAGCTGTACGCGCACCTCTACCAGACGGTACGTAGCGCAACGGCCAACGCGCCAAGCCCAAGCCTGCTCCCTGCGCCCTGCGCCCTGGGCCCTGCACTCAGAGTGAAAAGCACGCCTCCCTCTGCTGCCCCCAGGTTCACGAGTACATCCTGGACAAGGAGCAGATCAAGTCCAAGCTCGAGATCGACCCCGCCACTCAGATGGATGCAGGCGTTTACGAATGCACGGCAGACAACATGTATGCCATTGACAGGCGCAGTTTCAAGACAGATTTCTCTATTATCTTTGACTGAGTTGTCTGCCCGGAAGAGCAGAAATGACGAAGAGAGTATTAATCATAAGGTTTTGTGGGAGGGACGAGAAGCTATAATGTTTGTAAGCCCCTTTTGGATGTGAACTTAATTGAAATAAAATTTAACAAAGATTCACCCGGAGTTTGTACTTGTATCTCCCTGAAAGCTTTCTCAACATAAATCAAATTAGCCTTGAAATTTTAAAATAATGAAATGGAGGTTACTTACCGGCGTTCATTGTTAACTATTTCCATATAGTCGGTAGATCTTGCGTAGAAACCATCAGTGCTGAGAGCTCCCCAAAAGTTAGACCAAGCTTTGAAGGGCCGAGTCAGCATTGGAGCAACAACCCCACGATTTGTTTCCAGTAACAAACGGAGTGCTTTGGTGTTATCCAAGTGTGCTTCCGAGTCAATATTCAGATAAGCATCACAACCTCTCTGGACACAGTAGTCCCTGAAAATATTGAGAGGGTAATCTTAGAAGTTATTGAGGCAAAAGATGAGAAATAGTTTTAGATGCTTACATTGCCAGCTCACGAGCTTCCCCTTTCATAGCCTTGTCATCATAGTCAATTGACTTAACTCCTTTGTAACTTGGCCCATGGTCTTTCAAAAATTCCTGCACCAGTGGTGAGTGGTACTCAACCTGCAGAAGATAAATTATAAATTTTAAAGCAATGAAACTTTCTTACCATTAAAAAAATAAAAATAAAACAAGATTAATTGACACTCACATCATTGTGAACAAACAGGAACATACGCTTCTTGGGATAATCTTGTTTCAGAATCTTTTCAAAGAAATCCTCAAGGAATGGAGTAGGTTGCTGAATAAAAACAGCTATCACAACAGAAGGGAGCTCTGAGTCCTATGAAAATATACACATCATTAGTGCAACATCAATTTTAAAACTAGCCAAACCCACTGACAATTGACAAGTGGCCACAGTACCTTCTTCTTTGACAAATCAATGCTGTTTTCATTACATGAATAGCAGCCATCCTGTAAGCTCCAGCTTTTGGCTACATAGTTACCCAGAGCATTCACAACTGATTTGCTGGGCCCGTTACCATGAACAACTAGAGGCACTGTAGCATAGGCTGTATTTTTGATGTATGAATTTTCAGCCTCCAGACGCAGCTCAACATCAGCTGGGGTAAAACAAAATTAACAGGTATCATAGAGAATGAAAAGTCTACACAATTAAGAATAAAAACCAAACATACCAAGAGCTCCATTAAGATTTTGGAACAATGTGGAACGGTGATCTAATTTAATATTCAACTGTTTACGCATTTCTGGGTCAAGGAACATGTTGGTGTAATACAGTTGGTCATCATCTGTATCTTTAACTTCTTTAGCAGTCACTAATTTATATAATTCAGGTGCATACCCAATAAAACCTGAGAAATTTTATGAATTAAGGGATAAGACATAAAATGAAACCAATGGGATAAGACTTCCCCTACATTAATTAATTGATTAATTAATTACGCACCTCCTGAGTTTAAAAATCGTTTCCCACGGGCCACAGTAGGGTACTGGGATGCTAAGGTTTCATCTGGCCAACAGAAACCCTCAGCAGAAAACACAATACGAGCATCAAAGTTGCGGAACTGCTTTATGATGCGGTCAGCACTGTCTAAAATTATTACATCAAACCTGAATAACCAAACCAAAAATAAACATTTCAATGAGAAATGCAAAATTAGGAAAGAAAGAATCATAACACCAACTAAAATTAAAAACTCATTTGAATTTTTTTTTTTTTTTTCATCTTTTAAAGTTTGTATTTGAGAAACTTACGCATCAGTAAACATGATGATTTGTTTCGAATCATCCTTGTACTTCTCAAGCTCCTCCTTGAGCAGGTTGATTTTGTAGCCACCGCCAGGATACCGCATATCTCCGCCAACCCATTTCTGGCCCATACCGAGAACCTGCAAACGACAATTTCACACTTGGAACCGTAAAACAATCATGCTGCTTCAAGGTCGCAGGGTTTCCCTCATTCCGTCCACTTCCCGGGCCCCGGACGGGACGGAGCGCATGGAGCATGGAGCGCGGAGCATGGAGCGCATCCAGTGAAGCGCCGCGCCGCCGCCGCGGTCCCAGATTGGCGAGGCCAATGCCAAATTAGGCAATGCCGGGGCCCGTCGCTCTGTCTCTCTCGCACCTGTACAGGACGCCCCGTGAGTACGAGAGAGACAGAGCGGCGAAAACGACTATCGGAATCAGTCCGCAGTCGGCGGTGCGAAAGCGGATTGGTTTCTCCGTGGCTCCTGGCTCCGTCGGGGGCGAGCACCAACAGCACCATTCCGCCCAGAGCGCTCCAAGAGTGTTTCGCCCGTCGTTCTATCTCTCTCGCACCCACACGGGACGCCCCGCGAGAGCGAGAGAGATAGAGCGACGAAACCGCGGTTGCGTTGGGCTAGGAACGCCTTTCAGGTAGGCTCCGCGCCGACAGGTGTGCTCGACGGGCCGGCCTACCGCGCAGGGGCTCCTCGCTCAAGTCCTCGGACGGCGCGCCGCGGCGTTTGCTCTTGGTTTACCTTCATCGGCACATTGTTGATGCGGGCGGACCTCTCGAACCTCTGGAAGCCGTCGGTGGGCTCGGACGCCACGCTGAGCAGCAGCAACTCTGCAACCAAACCAGGCCCGAGGAAACGCGTTAGAAACGGGGCGAAAGCGGGCAAAAGCAGCTGCCTCATCGGGCAAAGCCGGCAAAGCACGCAAAGCACCACAGCGTCCGCTACATGTTGCAATCTACACCGGCAACTTTGGCTTCCGACCCAAGGCGGCGCAGACGGTGGCAAGAGATTCCAGACCCCAGGGCCGGCCGAGTGGGCGTACCGGTCTAGTCTTGTGTGGCTTTGTCACTCCTGCAACCGTGATCCTGGCGCGACCTGTAGGGGTGCGAGAGAGACAGGGCGACAAAAACGCTGCCATTCGCAATCGCTCTGCTCATGACCCCTATGACCGATGGGTGTATTTTCATCTGGGTGGAAGTCAGGCCGGCACCGTCGCCACGGTTTAGCCGGGCGAGACCGGAAGTCATTGGCTACTCCCACGAGGGGGAACAGAGGGGGTCGGCAGGGACCCTCTGCCTCAGTCCTGCCCTAGCCTGCCCCTGCCTCGGCCTGCCCTGCGCCCGGCCCTGCCCCTTCCTCGAACTGAACGGAGTACTGTACTACTGTAGTTGATGCCGGGCCCAGAGCCGCGGCCGCGCGCACCGCAGACCCATTCCGAGAGTCGGTTTCCTCGCTCACTCTCTCTCGCACTCACGGGGCCTCCCGTGTAGGTGCGAGAGAGACAGAGCGACGAAGGCGACTCTCGGCATCAGTCTGCAGCACGCGTAGACAAGCGTAGCCCAAAAGATTCGGGCTGCAATCTGGTTCAGGGCACGGGCCATGCCGGCCACGCCGATGAGATAGCCGAGCCGGCTACCCCCGCCCCCACCCCACCCACCATTCAGGAACTTTCTGTAACCGAGCACACGCCGGCCACGGCCTCGTCCTGCGCCGACAGGAGATCGTCCATGATCCATGCATCTTGAAGGACCCGACATGGCGCGCCCCTCACCCCACGTGATTCTGTCAGTGACTTTGGGTGTAAATGGAACTGCAAGCTGTAGGGACGTGCCACGGCTGGCCGGCCTTTTCCCATGGCGGCCGCGGCGGCGCTGGCGGCATCGGTGGCATGCGCTGACGCGACAGAGTCCCATGGCAGAGCCTCATGGCAGAGCCCAAGCCGCGCAGCTGCGAGTTATTTGACCCCCGGCCGGCACCCAGACGCCTCCCCCTCCCTCCCCCTTTCCCCGCGTCCCATGGGTTTCTAATGACCAAAACAGACTGGCAACTCTTTCCATCAATCGAGAACCGGGGGCCCAGGGAACGGGCTCAGTCATGAACTCACAAAGTCATATCCTATCCATGGAAGACCCAATGCAGAAAGGCATTTCCACAATACCATGACTGACTATGCGCAAGGCTGGATAAAATCAACTGAGCCCCCATAAATTTTCACCGTGTTGGGCACTGCTGCTTAAAGCAATAATTTTGTTGCGTAATTGTGAGAAAATGGAGCAGCTAGAGTCAGAATTGATTACAAAGTAACCCAACACAGATACTTAAATTATGTAGCGGAAAAAAGAACACAGACAATTTGATTCCCTTGCATGATTTTATAAAATTGGACCAAAAAAAAAAAAACATTTAGGCGTTACATTTCATTTATTTTTATACTTCTACATTAACTGGCATGCTCAAAATCTTGTTGGTCTTCAAAATTTATTTTACATCAAACAAAGGCCCAATGGATAACAGGTTTAAGAAAATTGCAACCACGTTGCAACATATTTGAATTCAACCCGTTATGAAGATCATGAAATAAAAAGCATGAAAAATCATAACATTCTCTGCACATAAAACGGTACAGCAAGCTTTGCCGGCGGGTTCTGTTGCTAAAAATAAAACAGCCCCAAGACGAAATGTAAACAATGCCCCTTCATCCTTAACATACAGTGCACCCTGCCAAAAATTACCTCGACGCTTCAAACTCTTAAATGAAAGAATAAAACTGAAAACTACATCAACTTTCTCTCAAAGAGAAGTGCCAAATCACTTCCGAAATGCCCCAAGAACCGAGAAATAAAGCAGACGACTCCAGCAGAAGTGACGTGGTGAGGTTAGGGCGACGCTCCGCCGCGCTGTCGGCGGCCGACGGCGTCCTGGGTGCTTCCCTGCACCGCGCACCTCCAGCGCACCTGGGCGGCAGCGGACTCACCCGAATCCCCGGCCGCGGCCACATCCTGGACCGTGGAACAAACCGCGACAAGCAGGAGGACGAGTACCGGCCCCGCAGCCTCCATCGCGACCAGCAGCAAGCAGCACACTCACACAACTCCACACGCGCCGCGCCGCGCGCACACACACAGACACACGCACGTCGCCCCACCCCCTCCCTCGCCCTTCCCTCGGCCGGACCGGAACGGCCGCGACGCCTCAACGCCGCGATCCGCTGCGCGAGCGGCGCAAGCCCGCTAGAGTTGCTGCTGCACTCCGCTGCCTTGACAAGGATGCACGGTGCGGCCGCCGCAGAAGGGACCTAGGGACGGGCGTTGAGGACTCCTCCGTGCGGGCCGGGGGCGTTGCAGCAACAGGAGTAAATCTCACGCGGCACAGGGACTTCCCTCCGGGCTGTGGGCGTTTTCGAGATGCGACAACAAAACGGAACTTACCGCTGGTGTGGTTGCCGTGCTGGCCGTGCTGGCCCGGCCCTCCTGGAGGGAGCCAGTGGGAGTGGCCCCAGCCGTGGTGGAAGGCGCCGTACTCGTCCGCGTCCTCCAGGTCGGCCTCCGTCTCGTGGTACGGCAGCAGCCACCGTTCGGCGGCGTCCAGCTCCTCCAGGTCCATGTCCAGCTCCACGTCGTTGTCCAGGAGGTCGCCGCACAGCTCGCGGGCGTCGCCGCGGGCGCGGGTGGCGAGGACCAGGGCACCCTGCGTGGCGAGCGGGGCGGAGGCCGTCGCCGACGCCACCACTGCAACACGGCTTGCGTTTAGACGCCGCACCGGTAGCGACAGGCCACCGTCCTAATGCCACCTATGGCTTACGGGAAGCTATGAAGACGACGGCCTTGAGCGGATGACGCATATTGAAGCCGTTCCTGTACACTTGGAGACTGCTGCTGCCACTGCGGGGCCTGCGGGGCCTGCAAGGTGTCCCTCCTGTCCTGCGACTGGCGAGCTGCTCCGGCCTCCAGGATCCGGTAGGTCCAAGCCGCGGAGTGGGGGCGCCGGGCCTAGGGGCGGGGCCGCGGGGCGGGCGTCCCTCGACCTCATGGTTGAGTGAGCAAACCCAATTTGCGCCACGTGGTCTGTGTTTTTTGCACTTTTTCTTGCGCCAATCCAAAGCGCAACGAGGGGACTTCCCTCTCACCAAACACGCGGTTTTCGGAAGCCGACACAATTTTTCACTGCATGACTCTGTTACCTACTTTGAAGCTCTAACGCCGAGGGAATGGGCTACGGTCGCAAAAGAAACGACGATAATCATTGCCCGACGCCCGCCCAAGTGACTTTTCATGCTGAGCGATTTGAAAACTCCTGTTCCGACGGGTGTCTTAGTTCTTGGTTTCTGGGGTAGGTTATTCGCAGGTGCGGCACTTGGAGCGTCCCGTCGGGGCTTGGGCCTTCCCCACGTGGCGCGGTTGTCTTCAGTGCGAGGGGTATTCACAGGTGACGTTCGGCGCGTCCCGTCGCGGTTTGGGGCTTCCCTCCCCGCGTGGCGCGGTTGTCTTCAGTGCAAGGGGTATTCACAGGGACGTTCGCGCTCCGTCGCGGTTGGGTTCCGTGGCGCGGTTGTCTTCAGTGCAAGGGGTATTCACAGGAGCGACGTTCGGCGCGTCCCGTCGCGGTTTGGGCCTTCCCTCCCCGCCTGGCGCGGTTGTCTTCAGTGCGAGGGGTATTCACAGGAGCGACGTTCGGCGCGTGCCGGAGTGCCGTCGCGGCACTCCGTGAGCCCCGTGTGCCGCGGCGGCGCGGTGCGACACGCGCCAGCGACCCGCCCGCATTGCGTCATTGCATCCCGTCATCGCGATCTGGCCCTTGCGGCCCTTGCGGCCCTTGCGGCGCAACCAATGAAGCGGAGACGCCTTTTCTTCCACCGGCTTCGGGACGGGAAGTAGAACAATGCGTTATGGAGTGTGGCAGGGCCAGGGCCGGCCAGGGCCGCAGTGGTACTGCACTCGCAAGGCTCGCAGGCGCCGGCGCCACGGAGACCGCTGGATTGTGTCATGCCAGCCAATGCTAGTGTGTGGGGTGAGGTGATCGCAAGTTAATAAAGTGGAAAAAAACTGAAATGAAAATTTAAAAATAACTTTATTTTGCTGTCTGTACAAGATTTGTATAATTAAAAGAGTTTTTAAAAGGTAACGTTCCAGGCTATGATTTTCTACAGTGTTGCACTGCCATGCCTGATGCGAACAATGTAACAACACATTTCATGCTCGCATTGAACATCACAAACTAATACAACATTTCAATGCATTAAACTGATAAATTCTAAGGTCAAAAGCATTAAAAAAAAAGTAAACTTTGTCAGCACATACTCACACTTATTTTGGAACGTGACCATTGTGCAAGAAATTCACATTAAGTAATTAAAGACTTGGAGATTTTATTGTGGTAGAAGTACACACATATGTGTAGGCACCATTAGAGCCAACTCACACATGAAAGGCGGACTGTACATTGGTATAAAACGAATTGTAGAAAAAGTATTGATATTTATCTCCGTAAATAAACAAAATCAAATAGAATTTCTAACACAATGAAAATATACAAGAAATACTCATTTATGCTCACACTCATTCATATTTCCAATTTGTGGTTGTTACACTTTTCTACAAAGTTTATATATTCATCAAATCACACTCAGTAAATGGGCGATGTTTGTTCCTTCCCCTACTGAAAGTCCACAATTTTTGAATATATACCACACAGGTACTAAGTAGTATGAATAATCTACAGAACTGGGATAAAACTGATCATTTGGGAAATTCATAAATATAGGGAATTATGATGCAACTTCATGCACTGAAGAACACTTGAATATGTACAGATGATGAAAAAGACAATGATCCATTAAAAGCCTGACAATTCAGGGAAGGTCTGCCTCCAAGTTGAGAGGAAAGGCACTTTAAGGATTTTAATTCGTGTTGTTGGGAGCAATTGCACTAACAGTTTGTGCAGTTTTGGAATTGGGAGAATACTAACAGGAGGGATAGTACTTTGCTCAGGTTGATTCTGAGAAGAAAGTGTGCGGAAACCACGAGCCAGGTATTCCACTTCATCTTCCTCGTCTTCTTTGTCCTTAGCTGCCTGCTCATCTTCCTTCACTGCTTCCTTATCTGTCTTCTCATCATCGACGTCCATCTTTTCAACTGGTTCCTTGTTTTCTGATGACTCTCCATTTTGTTCTGGTTTGGTTTCCTTTTCATCATTCTGAAAGAAAATATAACAAAGATTTATTACAACAATCAAGATATCTGACAGTACTACCGGTATCATGGTCACAAATTGGCTGCCTGCTTACCAGAACGGGTTTCACAATAGGGATGCACTCCCCAGTGAACGGGTTACTCTTGTTTGATCCTTGAGCACCTTTACGGGCCTCACATTGATCAATGAAGAGATCAGTAACTCTTGTCAATTCTAAAGTAAGACCCCACACAAGGTACTCCAAAGTGTCAGCGAGCAATGGTAAGCTGCACAGCACAATGTGATTTGTCGTTGCAGACTGAAAAATATCAAAGAAGAATTAGTTGACCACTCATTGCAATAGTGAGAGAAGGAAAAGCGATTCAAATAAAATATCCTCTTACTGTGGTTATATAGGTTGGGATGATAAGTAGCCTCCGCACTTGTTTGCACATAGCAAGAGCTTTGTCAAAGCCTGGTTTCATGTCAAAGTTTATAATCTCCAATTGCCTCAAAGCAGGGAGTTGAGCAATGCTCTCGATTATGGGAATTACAGGGCAACCAGGAACCTGCCCTTTTTCCAAGCGTAGACGTTGAAGTTTCTTCAACCTACAAAAGCATACAAAAATTTGAGATACAAGAAACAAGAGATGTTAATTTTGAACAAAAAAGGAAAAAAAGAATGAATTACTTTGACAAGTGATCAGGACCAAAGTCATCACTTAGTTTAATGCAGTCTCCTAGTTCCAGTGATTCCAGATTCTCCAATTCACTGATAATCTCAATGTTGCAAGAACCAAGATTTTTCACTGAAGTTATTGACTGTAAAATAATTAAATAAAACATTTATTTAGACAGAATACAAATAAAATATGTATACATCCTGAAAGAACTTTTAAGAAGATTAGTATCTCACCAAATGTTTCAGCCGGCAGTAAATAAGGGGATTTAAAGTTCCAGTTATACTCATTCCATTGTGACTCTTCAGCCGTAGTTCCTCAAGCAATGGAACATTTCGAATAGATTCTAAATCCACTTCTTCACTCCTAAATTATGAAGAACCAAAATGTATACATAAATTAATTACTAAGATCAGATTAAAAAAATTAGGTTGGTAACATGGTTGCAAAGAAAGAAGCAAGCAACATACCTGATAGCTATAGCATTTATCACTCTTAACTGGGGACAGCTTTTGGCCAATTGTTCAACAACACTGGCAGGGCATCGAGACAGCTCAACACGCTGTAAATTGTCTGCCTTTTCTATAACACGACAGAACTCTGACCACATATGTTCAATATCATCCTGATGACCAGGGGCAAGCATTTTGCGCAAATCAAGAACACGAGTGCCTCTAGCACTCAGTGCAGCAGCAAAACCATCCCAGTCAGTAACTTGTGAGTTTTTCATTCGTACAGTGTGCCACTAAATAAAACAATGGGAAAACAAATTAATATACGGCTGGAAGAGAAGTTGCAGGAGCTAAGATTTTACAAATTATTTACCAGATTAGGATGTAAGGACAAATCTCTCCACATGCGGCACACTCTTGATGCTCGCAGAAGTTCTTGTACTTTCAGGTAACCCATGACATGGAACAGAGCTCCATAGCCATTGGAGAGATCACTAATGAAGTTTTCCATGCTTCGAATGTTACTTTGAGATGCAGTAGTAGAGCTTTCTACAGTGGCATCTGCAATATCGGCAATCTTTGCACGTTTAGGCCTGCAATCACACACAAGTGATGATTAAATCAGTTTTTCTACCAGTAAAATTTGTTTTTACTTTTAGAAAAGAAAGAAAAACATTTTTAAATGAAAATTTAGAAAATAAAACACAAGATAATGTGGAAGTTGAGTGGTGTGGGTAGGAGGGAAAGGGAGAGGGAGAGACGTGTTGAGCAAACAAGCAACACTATTTAGTACATAATGAAAATTCACAGACCCCTGCAATCTCTTTGGAAAAAAAAGAAACATTAAAATACAACCTAAAGAAACTGAGAATATTAACATGGGAAACTGCCCGCCAAGGCATAAAAAACGCCTTTGCAGATGGAAGACTCCGAGGATATAACTCCCCCCACATCCACCCAACAGGCACTTTCCAACATAAGCACTGATCATCTTCTCACTGCCTACAATTGAACAATAACTCATGAAGTGCAAAAATGATCCATCTGAAGTTTAACACTTACATAGAGGCCTCAGAACCACCACCGGAGCCGGGTACATAATAGACCCCTGACGGTGCCGTCGATGGACTAATGGAGCGAGCTGCTCCGGGGGACACGGACAGCAGGTTGTGCTTCGGCACCACAATGAACTTCTGGCCACCGATGGTGGCAACAGTCTGGGGCGGGGCTGGCGGTTCGGTCGGAGTGGGACCGGCCATGGGCGGCGCGGGCGGGCGCGGCACGGAGCTAGACGGGGACAACACAATCAGGGACAATGGCACAGGCTGGCACAGGCACAGACGCACTGGGGCAGGCTTTATGCATAAGGCTCTACTGAGGTATACAAGATTTGAGAAGTCATCTGTCCGGCAGCACAAGCGCTGATCGCAGCAAAACTGATCCTAAACAGTCATTGGGAATGGGAGAGGGTAGGGAGAGGTGAGAAGGATTCCACAAAAACCCACACCACACCACTCAGACAATTGTGACTGCAAGCAATGAAGATGCCCCACAAAAAAGTAGCTTGACAGTATACTCACTTAGCTTTCCACGGGGCTGAGGTAGAGTTTGCAGGGGTCTCAGCCGGCGCGTCATCACTTGGATCCCAAGTAGGGGGCAGTGTGCCAGTCTCAGCCACTGTTTCAGCAGTCTTGTTAGCATCTTTCTTTGGCCTTCCAACTTCAACGGAGAGGGAACAAACAGGTCAACAAACACTCATGATATCAAACAGAAAGAAATTCAACAAACAGTAAGTACCTTTCCCTTTGGTTGGCGGTGAATCTCCAGTAGATTTTCGGGAAGGAGTTAATTTAACTTTGGGACCTGGCTTGGGGCTTGCCTTGCTGGAGGACTTGAGAACAACTCTTGGTGTTACTGCTTTGGTTGACGGAGTACTTGATGGGCTAGTATTTGGACCATTTGATCCGGCAGCTGATGCATTAGATGCGTCTTCTGAATGGGCTGGAGAGTCTGCTGCATTGGCTCCCTTCAGTGCCTTCTGTTTGGGAATTTTAGGTGATTTCTCACGTTTCAAGGGGGCTGCCTCATGCTGCGAGAGAAACAATCCTTAATAAATTACAAACAAGTAAGAGATCAAAGAAATCGAGAAAACCACTAACCACACTAGATTTTCGAACAGATGCTTCTCGGATGATTTCTTTGGTAGGGTCATTAATGCCAATTGGGTCTTTCATAAAACAGAAATGATCCACTTTCAAATCTGTGCCCTTCACTGAAATGATTGAGATGGTACTGTTAATTCCTTGATCACTCTCAGAAGTCACAAAGCCACACAACTTGAAAATACTAACAATGTTCCAAGATCTCCACTCTTGATCGGACTTTCTTTCCTTCAGGGGTGTAATAATAGATATCGCCTGACCTCTTCCCATCATTACTTCCTCTGGGGCCAGTACCTCGGTAAACAAGTTCCCGCTTCCAACCTGAAGCCACAATTCGCATAAAACACAAAGTAATTGTTTGTAAACACACTTCTCCAAATTGGTAATTGACAGATAACACCCACCCAATTCAAAAGGTTTGAGGTAAATGGGATCGGTAGCATCCCGAGCCGCAGTATTCCTTCCTCTGCGAGCAGAGGTGTCCTTATTCTCTTGAGATTTCTTGGCACCAGCTGAACTTGTAACTTCTGGATGAACCTCTTCTTTAACTCCTTGAATAGATGAAAAAGTATAAATTAAAACTAGAAACAAAATTTGCACATGCATGGACCATTAGGTTACAAAAACTAATGCCCTAGCAGATCATTGACTAAGCCATGTAACAATAGTTTAAAATCTATTCCTGCCACATTTCAGCATACCATTGTGAACTACAATCAACTCAAGAGCATCAAATAGAACACAGCTCTTCTTAAACGTAGACTCCATCATTGTTTCCATGGTAATGACCAGAGCCAACAACAATGCTTGACACCTGCTTTCAACATACAGGCTAACTCAGAGCAAAATAATCTGCTAGGACCAGAAGCTAAATTCCTTTTAACTTTACCTTTGGTTTTGCGTGGAATATCTTCAGAACTAGTAACTTCAGAAGAAACTTCACTCAAAAGTTTCATGTTGTCCATGCTGTCTCCAGCAGCTTCTCGCGCTTTAACAGACTTTTTCCTTGCACGCTTGGAAGGAGGTGATGCAGCTGGCTTTTCATCGTCATTGAACTCCTCAGCCAGTTTCTCCAAAGGCCTGCAAACAGATAAATAAAATGATCGAACTCAAGTAAAAGTGTCTGCAAAATTAATAATAACAATAGTTAGCTCAAAAAAATTCATTAGTACATGGCAGTTTACCTTTTTTTGGATGACGCTTTGACTTGCTTAGTTCCTTTGGTTTGTTTAGGAGATTCATCTTCACTGTCCGTGTAAATATCTTGACCGAGTACTTTGTGACCATCTTGGGATTCTCCTGCAACTTCATTGCTCTCTTTCATTGAGGAAGAATCCTTGTTCTCCAGATCTGCTTCATATTTGCCTGCAGATAGGCAATCGTAATTCTAGCTCCAATCCAATAAGAATCAAAAATAGCATAGATATTTGACTTACCAACAAGCTTGTTAACTACAGAGGCTCCATTAGGATCAGGTGTTTCATCGAATCCATGAAAATCAGAAGGAGTTGCACTGTTTCCCTTATCAGATGCATCGTCGTCATTTGGTTTTTTCCTCTCATCATGGTCTGTTGGTACTTTATCTTCAATGTCATCTTTTGACAATTCCTGAAATAGTTAAAATAACGGAAATATAATAAATATGGGAGAAACTACAAAGAAAAGACTGATATTAAGATAAAAATGAAATGGCACTTACGTCTGTGCGCTCCAACACATCCTTCACGACTGAGGCTCCATTCACAAGCTCGGGAGTATCTTCGGTGAGGCTATTGCGAGTTGCACCAAGCTTGCCTTTGCGGCCTTTACGAGTGAGCGTAGTCATTGCAGTCAATACGTACTAATAAGATAGTGGAGTTTAAATCATTCACAGCTTATTCTGAAAGAGATAAAATCAAAAATGAGACACTATAAAGGTTGTTGCATCGGAAAAGTCTCTTCGCTGCCGATTCGCTTGGTGCAGATTCAATAATTGCTCAAGACTAATATCCCCTGTAAAACAAATGGAAGAATGCTCCAAAAGTAACAGTTCCAACAGAATGCACAAGGGGTAATGATGCTGATCCACTAAATCATAACTTAAAAAGGCTTTAAAGACAAAATCACCAACTTCAATGACAACTTACAGACCAAACTTGGGCAAGCAGGGTGCTAGACTTGAATACAGTGACTGTTAATTAATGCAGACGCAAGGGAAAGAGAAGAGAAATGATAGGGCAGTGGGGAGAAGCTACGTTATTTGACAGACTCGGGCTTGGCACCCCGAAAACAGAACTGAGGGAAAGCGGCTGACCGCTAACCTAACATGGTGCCCAGCGACAAGCGTATGCAGCCTGCCCTACGAAAAACGCGGGCATGCGCGGCATGGACGGCAAACTGGCAGCGTCACCACCAAAATGCGGCTCTACGATGCCGCCCCAGCGACGCCTCGGGGACAACGCAAGAGGAGACCGAATTGGACGAACATACAAAACCAACTGGACGATCCGAAGCTACAAGGACGCGGAAACGCTACGGTTCAGAACCGTATAACAGTGTCAGCATCAACGATGCACGGGCAACCATAGCCCCACTACGAACAAAGTCGGTACTTTAAGACAACAGGGAAACATTTGAAACCAAACTCACAATGCCAAGTCAGCTGTGACAATATTGCATTTTCCTTTCAAAGGTTGTGCACTTCTTTCATGCAGTAAAACACCGAAACAAGCTTGTTAATCGTTTGTTGCACCGAAGCCGACCACTTGAAAGCAAGAAGAACAATAATAAACTTGACGATACAAACAACGCCGCTACCTCACGGCATCCGACTGGCCGTGACCGTGTGGAAATTTTGGCGCGGTGCGGTGGCGCTAGGGTCGCGCCCGAAAACTTTTCTGAACTTTTTGATGCAGGTAGCTAGAAAATTCGTCAATACATAGTGATAAAGTAAGAAAAAATACATATTTTCTAAATGCCCGCACCTCCTCTCATTTAACACAATGTTGAACGCAAGGAAGCGCATAGCGTAAACGTAACGTAACTTGTTTGTTTGGCGCGAACTCGAGCCCAGTAGCCCCCCTCCCTTTGTCGTACAGCTTGTTCGCTGCCTGCCTGGCCAGGTGTGGGTGTAAGGTGGAGAGGGTAAATGATTTTGATGATAAGCTCATGGAAATTTTTTAATTACATCAGTGAAAAAGTTTTATGGCTAATTACACATAGTACAAATGCCGATGTCAATAACCAAAACAGTGCAAACATTGCAACAGAATTATTACAAATATTAACATTGCAGTATAATACATACCACAGAACTTACAACAAAACATACACAGAAGACTTCTGTACAATTGCACATTTTTAAGTCATTATTACACATGAGGTCAAAATATAAGTTAAGTTAATAATCTAGCGCATAACTTTTCCCGGTGATTTTAATGCTGAAACATGAACTCCCTTCTGTTGACAGAGCTCACAGATGTAACTACCCAATTTTTCATTATCAATCACTTGCCCTGCTTTACGACAGCAATCTGCAATAAAAACAAAAACCATTGTAAATTTTTAAGAGTAGAAAATATGCACACCAATTTGAAAAATAGAAATACATGTTTTAGCAGTTCTTTTGGAAATTCAAGCAGGATGTGACAATTTATGAGCGCAAATGGTGATTGCCCTTTTGGAGTAAATGAAAATGAAAGGCACCATACCAGCATGCATCCAGCGATCACAGATAGAACAGTTGATAAGCCCTTCCTCCTCAGGTTGGTTGGTAAAGCATTTCCAGCAAAGTCGGCAGTATCTTCCCTTTTTCCACAACCTGTACAAGACCACCCATTTAATATTATCTATTCCATCACTTAGCTTCCCCCTCAGATACACAAATTGATAATACAAATTATGTGAACACCAAGACAAATTCAAGCTCTTCCAATAATGAGTCATGAACAGATTGTGAATGAATGAATTTATACAGCCAACATACCAAACATACAACAATAATGAGAGAAGTGTTTCATTTTACTTACTTAGAGCATGGTACACAGAGAGTACGGACATAGATTCGTGTGCCTTTATCACCTTTTTTGAACTGAAAAGTTGGACAACAGGTAAGTAAAAGGGGTAATGAAAACTCTAAAAGGGCAGAAGAAAAGATGAATTACCTCATGCTGCCATTGTAAGCCATCACTCTTAGAAGGAGAGTCTTGAGACGTTTGGGATTGTGAGGCATCTGTGCCTCCAGGGTCTCGAGCAGCACATGATGCACAGACAGCGCACTCTTTGCAATGCCATCTACCCTCAGGCACCTTGCGTAAGCCAACACAATAGATGTGGTACCTAAAGGCGAAATCAGACAAAAGTTCATTTCAAGGAGAAATTTCAAGATTTGAAGTTAAAGACAAGGCTAAAAACTTGCCCTCTATCACACATATCGCAGAAAAGCATTTTATCTTCATCTGCTGTGTCATTGCATTGAGCACAAAGCTTACAATCAGTACAGTGCCAAGCGTACTTCCTAATGTGAGACATCATGTCTACTGTCAGGTCAAGGCAAGAGAGATGACCTAAAGAAAGGAGATGAATCATTAGCAATGCAATGACTATGGCATTATTCTTATTGAGGCCTTGGACCAAAACTCACCACTCTTTTCACAACTAGCACAATGAACCAGTGGCTCTGCTCGGCCTAATTTGTTTTTGAGCCTATCACCATTACAGACTCGACAGACTGCATCTGGTCTCTCCACTTCACCTTCCTGACTGTCAAGCGCTCCTGGCATAACCTGACTAGATGAATCATCCTCACTGTCAGAGGAGCTGTCAGAATCACTATCGGAGTCACTATTAGAGCTGTCAGAGTCAGAGCTTAAAAAAACAAAAAACAAATAGACAATTAGTGTGCAAATTACAAACAGTGCAGGTGAGGGTATGAGTGATGAGAAAATAGGCACCTGGAACTATCAGATGAACTTGACTCTGATGAATCAGTTTGGCTACCGTCACTTCCACCAGAATGCATCCTAATTTCATGAGGTAGAAGAGGTCCATAGAGGACAGTATTCAGAGGGAAGTACCGCAGCTCAGCAGCAGTAAATCTGTGAAATTTCAAGAGTAAAAAAATTGTTAACTGGGAAAATATTATAGGATTATTGTCCATGAGCCAAACAGCATAAAATACATACTCCTTGTAATAGTCAGTGTATTGGCCAGGAACAAGAGCCAAAGGATAAGCCCCAATTGGAGGAATATTTGGAACAGTCATTTTAGTACGGCGTTGCTCAGGGTAATGAACTGTAAAGCTTTGCAGATCAAAGCAGGCACGCCGTTGATCTCTTCTATTGCGGTTCAACATAGAATTAAATGAGGCCATGTTTCTCATGGCTTTACTCTTTGAATCTTCTTTAGCAGCAGCTCCACTAGCCAACAGAGCTGAAATCAAATATATTTGCAAATGAGCAAGAAAGCGATTGATCTGATAAATCAAAGACATACATAAAAAAGATTGAACCATAATACAATATACCTTTCTGTTTATTGGAAAACTCCCGTTGAGCTCTCTCCCGAGTGAAGCGTCTGTATTCCTCAAATTTCTCTGGGAAATCAGTACACAAGACATCTAATACTTCATGACTTGGCAGTGCAGTGAGACCTACACAGAAAACAAAATCGATTGAAAATGGTTACACTTCAAATAGGAATATGAAAATAAAAATTACAACACAAATACTTACCAAGATCACACAAACTTTCTGACACCAATTTACGTTCTAATAAATACTGACGTTCATCATGATCTACTGGCCGTCTTTGCAAGTTGGGGTATTTTCGTTTAAAAGACTTGACACCAAGGTAAGAAGAAATTTGTTCCTGAACCATGTAAGCTTCACTGTGCCCATCATTAGGCGGCCACATGTATTCAGCAATCATATCCACTGTAAACTCTACGTGTCTGAAGATAAAAACAAATATGGTTAGTAAACCTGACAAAAGAATAAACCAGCAAAGGAGAATTAGGTAGTTTACTACATACGCATCTGGATCAACATTGATTTCCATTCGACCTTTCCGGTTCCCTCTATTTGGTGTACTTTCTGTAGTGGAAGATACCATGCTCACACTGCCCTGAGATGCTTGAGATTCTTCATTAGTATTAAGAGGGCCTGGACTGTCTGCAGGTGTTTCACATGGGGTTGATGGCATTAGATGGTCAAGATTTGTCAATCTTGAGACAACTACTTTAGCAAACTTCAGACCATTTGTTGCATTCCCAACCGAAATTGCAGGGGTGGAAGTCTCAGCACAATCAGCACTCATTCGGGTTTCTTCTTCAAATAATTGTGGTTCCTCTGGTAACATACTTTGTTCTGCCTTTTGCTTGGCCGCCGCTGGAAAAAATAAGTGACAAACATGAAAAATTAATTAAGGAATAGAAACGTTGGCTTACTTTGATTGCTGCACAATAATAACATCTTACCAGCTCGCCCTCGAGGTTTTACAGGTTTAGGTGGCTTTGGAGGAGGTTTCTCTCGCCCTTTACAAGATCTTTTAGGACGGTCAGATTCTGCTGGCTCTGGTCGTACACGTTCTCTCTTTGGTTTGGTAGGAGTCGTGACAGGTTCCTCTGCAGGTGCCACTGCAGGCACTTCATGAAACACTGTGCCTGGAGTCAGAACTGCCTTCCTGGGCCTTCCACGGGGTTTTCGTCTTGAATATCTTGAAGTGGGAATTTCATTTTCCTCGACGTCGACAACAGGAATGCTTGTTTCAGAGGGAGGCACACGATCATTTTGGGACTCTTCTGAATCCAATAAAATAACATCCATGGAGTCCTCAGTATTCCTCTCAGCAGGGGGCTCATCATTCACAGTTTCAGGTTCAATTTTCAAGGGATCTGAGTCAGATTCTTCTTTAACAGGCACATCAGCATCCATGTTTTCATCATCCATAATCTCACAATCTTCAGTTAGTTCTTCTTTTAACTCATTTTTCACACTTTGGCCTCTTAAGACAGGTACCGGCTCTTCTGGCTTATCCACATTGGATAGTTTAAGTCTCTTAGCTGAGCTGGGTGCATTTTCAGGTGTATCAGCTAATGCCCGTTTGGGTCTGGATTTGGGTGTAGTAGGATCAGTGGGAACTGGTGAAGGTACAGTATCAGAATCAGTGGACTTTATGGACCAGCTAGAACGTTCATCAACAACTCCCACAGGGCTGGGCTGACCCCCCGCCTTTGACAACTTTAAAGTGATACGCTCTTTCTGAGGTTCTACTTCTTCACCACGAGCAATGATGAGAGGTGACAAAGGAGAAAGGGGTTCATCTTTCGGTTTGGAAGACTTTTTGTCAGGCACAGGGGATGCTGGTTTCACAATGCTCACACCATCCTCTTTAGAAAGCTTGAGTGTTATTTTCTCAAGCTTGGAAGTCTCTCCTTCTCTCAACAAATCATCAGATGCTTTTGAACTCACAGCTGCTGTTCCATCTTTAGACACTTTAAGGGTTAATTTCTCAACACCTATTGCTGGCGGAATGGGAGATGCAGGCTTCACAATAGAAACATTATCATTCTTAGAGACCTTAAGGGTTATTTTTTCAACTTTTCCAGGTTCAGGACTTGCAGAAGCACTGCGTTCTAGTTGTGATAAATCTTTGGAGCGCACTATGCTTACATTATTATCTGTTGATCGCTTCAAAGTAATTCGCTCCAGTTTTCCACCATCATTTTCAGAAGATGATGTATCCATTTCTTTCCTTTTGGCTTCACTTTTTGAAAGTTTTAGGTGTAGTTTTCCTCTTCTGGCATCTTCTCCTTCATCTTGACTATGAACTGTTGTAAACTTCTGAGAAGTTTCATCTTTTACCAATTTAAGAGTTAATTTTTCTTGTCTGGTTTCAGGTAACTCTTCAACAACTGGCTTTACTATTGTTGCACCCTCATCTCTGGACAGTTTTAAAGTTATTTTCTCTACTTTGGCAACTTCAGCATCAACCAATGATGCTACTTGAGGATGATTTTCTGTAGAAACTACCTCCAGACCCTCTTTACTTTTCGCAATTTTGAGTGTGATTGGAGATAAAGGAGGATTTGGTGACAATGTGTCTTCTTTGATCTTCCGTATTCTCTTTGTACCTCCTGGTGAACATGAAAATTCTGAGGATGCAGATTCATTAGGTATTTGAACTTCTAATTTTGACAGAGAAGGGTCCAAAATTTGAACAGATTCTTTTGAAATTTTAAGTTTGATTCCAACAGGTTTTCCACCATCAGTCCTACTTGTAGATTTGTTTGTCGTTAGGATGGTTTCTTCTTTGGAGTCAACTTCAGTGTTTGAAATCATGTCGTCCGCTGTGGCTGTTGGGTTGCCATCACTTGTGTCAGAGTTTTCATTGGAACTGCTGTCTTCCTTAGCAGCAAAGAAAAGTGGTGAAGATCTTGAATCAATGTTGCTGGAAGAACACCCTTTCCTAGTACGGCTATTTGACTTCTTATTCAAGAGAGAAGTATCAGCTGCGTCAGTGACTTTGGCAAGGGCAGAAGCTTGTTTAGCTTCTTTGAGGTTTTTTCTTGTGGGAGTTACTGCAGCAACAAAGGCAGCATCGGCAGCAGCTTCAGCTGCTTTTGCAGATGGGTGGCGTATTTGCCTCAGCTTTCGGCCTGGCGCACCCGCTGCAGAGCTTTCGGCACCTACTTTCAACTTCTCAAAAGTATTTTGACCTTCACCCACGTAATCAGAATCTAAATTTGAGCTCGCTTGCTCTACAGAATCTACTTTATCTACTGGTTCATCAATTAAATTGGTTTCCTCACCAGAATCTGAAGTTGAATCCTGACCCTCATTTTCAATTCCAATATGTTTGTCATCATTAGGTTGACTGACATCAGGAACAATATTTTCAGGGTCTGCCACTGACAACTCAACTGACTCACTCGCTGGGGCATGTGGGCTTTCAATTGCCATGCTGGAAGAATCAATGGAAGTGGCAGTATCAGCCTGAGCTAACTCACCAATCACTTCCTTAGAGCTGGTTAATTCAGTATCCTCATTGGCTGTCAAGTCATTTGTTTCTGGAATAGGATCAGAGCTTGAAGACTCTGCCTTTGTTTCTTCTTCAGGTGGGCAAACACCTTCATCACTCATAGATTGGGTAACACCAGTAGGTTTGGAAGGATCTACAGAATTTTCTGTGATATCCATGGACGTTTCATCATCTTTCAAAGTATTTTTCACATTGTCTCTGACAGGTAAAGGACTCTCTTCAACACTTTGTGCTACGTCTTCAAGTGTATTTGAATCTGATGGACCGTCGGGCTCTTCATCTGATGGTTCTGGACTGCTTCCATACATAGCCACCAAGGAGTTTACGAACGCTGGTCTGTTTGGGTCCATAGCAATAGCCTACGGATTAAAAAAAAACTTAATTAAAAAGGTGGCAGGGTATTACAATGGAAAGATCCTTAAACTGGTAAGGCTAGGTCGCCCTGCCTTAGACAGTCACCAGAACAACATTTCTGTCCTTCACAAAATAAACAGACTTCGATCGATAAGATAGACTCGAATTAGTAGAAGAAACTGAAAACTTGCCGACAAAATATATGGTATTCACCGGTGTAATTCTAAAAGTCTCCACTGAAATCAATCAAAACACCGCCTCGACGCCATTTCCAAGCGTCTACCGTTGAACTGCAATAACGATTTAATGAGAGTCTAGTGGAGGTTCAGCGAGGCTAGATAATCTTCTAGTTAATTAGGCATCCCATTCGTTCATTCTACCAGAAAGTTGGTCACTGAATTATCGAATACTTAATCACATGAAAACTAGGTACTTGTTTGTAAACGGGTAATACTTTTCGTCAAAACATTTTCTCCGATAAATTACAATAGCCTCGCATCTCCATGATTACGAATCTGAATGTCAATAAAGATAAAATGCATTTTTTTCTCACTCAAAAGTTATTTTATTTATGTTTAAAACTGCAAAATATTTTTTTTTAGAAATTATTGTAAATTTCCGACTATTGCTCGTCATCACACTACATGATAAAATAAATCGGTCAATCTGGTCTTCTTTCCGGTCAGTGGGCAGAGTCGTGAACGTACCCAGGTCCACGCTGTTCAGTTCTTTTCCGGTTCCCGGTCTTCAGGAGGCTAAGCAAGCCCAAGCAAGGTCTGTTTCCATACCTTTCGATAGTGTTTTTCCGGCGTATTTTTCCAAAATTTGAAGCTAGGCACAACAGTTAATATCGTTGTATGGATTAAAGTTCTAAGTGACTGCAGTGAGGTGCTAATCGTCCGATTGGGCGGAGTGTTTACACGGAAGGTGTGCGGGACGTGCCGCTGGCATGCATGCCTGCCACATTGCTAGTTTCTCATTTATGTTTTAAATCTAGTACTGCGTTAGAATTTATCGCTGTCTTCAGCTATTGTAATTTCATATAGCTATTTAGTACACTTGTCGTCCTTTGAAGCTCCGAGTGCCTAGGCGTTCTTACATGGACCCTGTTTACGAACGTTAACCTATCTTTGTCAGGACATGGTGCTAACCCCCGTTTCGCTGTGATGCTATCCGTCCCTTGTTTCGCACTATCGTCCATCAGTTTCGTTATTCGTTCCCTCAAGATATGGACCTTCCTTTCATTTTTTCGCTATTTTCACTGTCATTTGACAGTCTGGGGTCCGAATTCGGTTGAATGGCACTATTGTCATCTGTTTATTGATGTGCCTTATGTCTACCTCCCTCCATTCATGGCGTTCTGGAGCCGGTCCTCATCTGGGTGTCCCAACACCTTTCTGCGCCGCTTGCGAACACGACCCAATTTTTTCCTGTGCTGTTTACTGAATATTTGTTTTGCTTACAGATGCCGTCGATCACACTCAAGGATGTTGACCAGCACGAGTTCGTCAAGGCTTTCAGCGCCTTCCTCAAAAAGTTTGTATTTCTTCATCCCGTTCTCAAAAATCACTTCGTATATAAATGCTCTAATTTTTGTTACTTTGTAGGACTGGCAAGATGAAGGTCCCAGACTTCATTGACCTTATCAAGAGCGCGAAATTCAAGGAGCTGGCCCCCTTCGACCAGGATTGGTTCTACGTGAGGTGTGCTGCCCTCGTCCGCCACATCTACATGCGCTCCCCTGTTGGTGTTGGAGCCATCACTAAGATCTTTGGAGGTATGCGGGGTTGATAGTTGTTTGCCTTTGCTTGACTACCCCCTCAGTGCTTTAACCCCATTGTTATGTGTCCAGGTCGCAAGAGCAACGGAGTGCGCCCATCCCACTTCTGCCGTGGCTCTGCTGGTGTTGCCAGGAGAGCACTCCAGGCCCTGGAAGGTCTTAAGCTTATTGAGAAGGCTGATGGTGGCCGTAAACTTACAGTTCAAGGCAGGAGAGATCTTGACCGTATTGCAGCTCAGGTAAGTGGCATGCTGATGCTTCACTAGTGCTTTTCTTATGTTAAATATTTGGTACTAATTGTGTGTGTAACTACAGGTTTACCTGAAGACCAAGAAGCAGAAGCTTTTGGCTGCCGCTGCTGCTGGAGGTCTTGTTGTTCCAGTTGTTGCGGCCGCTCCCGCTCCCGTTGCATCAGAATAAGTAGTTTATTAAAAAATGAAAAATGAAATGTTGCTTTTATTTCTTCCCATTACTAGAAACGAATGTTGGGGTAAAAAGAATTGCTCAGCTTATAAAACCATCATACATTTTATTATGAAGTTGCTGATAGTGCTAAAATTCTGACAACTACCATGACACTTGAATTAGGAATGCGATATGTCACTGTCGCTAAAATTTGATCTTTGCAAGCTCTTTCCACTAGTTGTAGGGACGGATGCTTAAGCACAATTTGAAAGATCAGAATGGCAAGTCTCAGCTTGAGCAATACAACCCTGAGATTAAACAGCGCACAAGGTTGACACAGATGAGTGTACATACATTGGACACACAGGCTTTGCCATGGAAGCATGATGGTTAGAACAAAGAAATTTATGTAATAGACTGCTTTACCATGAATGGACGGTGTAGACACAATTTCATAAGACAGATTTTAACTTAGATTCCATAATGGCTAAGAAAGACATCAATTAGAAAAATATCCTAAACACAGCACATCATTCCCTCCACCACTGGCAAAGTTGTTTATTACAGTTCTGTCTATCAATAAAATTGCTTAAGTTCATCAAGCACAGGTACTCTACAGTTCATAAATGGCAATTCAATACGTTGGACATATTAAGACATAAAATAGAATTCATTAATAGGCCATAAGGGAACGGAATGCGGTCTTAAGGGACACATTATTCTTGTAAAATCTTGATACTTCATCTAACATAACTGTTGGACTAGAAATATTACAAATGTTAAATAGTGGTTAATAGTTCAAACAAATGCACTGAGCTTCAAATAAGAGTCTCTGTCTGGGAACTTTACAAACCCTATCTACTAGATCTGTACAAAATACAGCAGTAAACTCAAGTATGATGAGACAAGTAAATCTTCCAGACTAAGGAACTGCTTTAATCAAAACTCCAAAATTGTTCAATGGCCAGTGCACTACTTGCAAATAGTCTACAAGAATGAATTCATTATTGCACTTGTAAAATCACAATCTAATAAAATGACAATACACCACCTTTTTACAGGAAGTATACGGTATGGTGCCTAACTATAGGTCTCTGGCAATTTTCGTTGTTAAGTGGTAACAAAAGTTAAAATCACTTTGAATTAACAAGTAAGTATGTGTAGTTCTGGCTGTGTCCATGGTCAAATCTAGGTAAATTATCATTCACATAAATCCTGAGCATAATCAACAGAGCCAAAGTACTGCATACTTCTTGACTGAGATCATACAATAATACATGGACAGAAGTCATTGGGCACAACTTCATTGTACCACAGTGTTGAATAAAATTATTACAAATTGCCCTCTATATATCAGAGCACTTAGTAACAAATCCATAAAACTTTACAACACAGCCTTCCTTAATACTTTCAAAGTTTAACACATTCTAATAAGTGAATAAAATAAATAAATTAGTGCAAATATATTAATGTAATAAATTATATCATTAAAAGAAACAAAAAAGAAAAACAAGGTACATCATGAAGTAAATATTAAAAGGACACTTCATTTTTTTCTCGTGAAGGTGCAGATGGAAGAGATGCGCTCATCTTGGCTTTCTGCAGCCACTGACGGAGATTATTTGTGCGCTCAATCAAAGACGAATTTTTATCCTGAATCACCTTAGAAATTGAAGGAGTAATTGTTGGACTGCTAACACGAGCAGCTGAGGCACTAGTCTGATGATAGTTCTGAGAAGTAGAGCTCATTCCAGCAGCTTGTGTACCAAGAAGTGGTGGAGGCCCCAAACCTTAGAAATGATACAAAACAGAATACAATATGTGCATTTACAGTCACCACACAGCTATGAAGAGGAAAACACAATTGACTTACCCGCTGCAGCTCTTTGCTTACATAATACATTCCAAATTTCACTTATCTCAGCATTAAGATTATGCAGGCTTAAGTTTATATCTGCAGTGTTTTCTGGATTATGTTTGAATCTCGGTCCTGAGCCAGAGTGGGTTAGCAGTGATGCTACAAAGTAGATTTGTATGAATAATTTCAAGTATTTTAAGAAAAACTCATTATAGCAGTTGGAAATAAAATAATTAGAACATGAGCCTACCTAATGTACCATCAGATGCATATTCAGTACTACTAAATCCTGAACTCCCTCCACTGTCAGAGGATACTTCATCACTGACATCTTCCACACCCAAACCACCAGCTTTCCAGTCCCATCTTCGATGTTGTTTAAGTTTGGGTTTCTCTGCATGTCTTGTTTCAGGTACTCCATTGCCTCTTCTCCCATTAAGTTCCGTTCTCATAGATGGACCAGTGAGATGATTCAGTGAATCTTCCAAGTGGCGTAAATGTACCATTTTCTCACTTAATATGGTGCGCGTGCGCTGTAGCTTTGACTCCATATCAGATAGTTCTTGCTCCTGTACACATGAAAACACAACGGAAACTTAACACGAGGCAAAAAAGGGTACAAAAAAGGGTAAAGGAGCATGTCATACCTCTTTAGCCATTTGATAGAGTGTGCTGCTGGGAGCAGCTACTTTGCTACTCGTCTGTCTTAGCTGGAAATTGTGCATCCTTGTCCTGTATTCTGACTGTTGAGCTTGTAAAGTACTCTTGGCTTGGCGAATCATGTCTCTTTCTAAGTGAATTCGATGCCGGAAGAACTCTAGCTCAGCACTTTCCAGTTTCTTTGGGGCTGCTAAACAATGCAAAAAATAAAATCAGTGACACATTCAAAACAGTATTTAAAATGCTAATCACATGAATTGTAAAATATTTTTTTTCAGAAGGAGAGAACAACCTGCATCAGAAAATGGATAGCGAAGATATGCATCTGTAACCGATGAGACAGGAAACTGTTCTTCAAGCTCATCCAATGTTTTTAACTGGTATCTTAGTGCTTCCAGAGGAGAAAATTGATGAGATGTAGTTGTATTGAAGTTTGGAGGGTTCCATTGCGTCTCTTCATCTGAAAGGGTGGTTCATTACAGAAATATTCCCACAAAATTTACCACAGCATAAGTGCCCTTGTTTAATGTTTCAGCTTACTTGTAAGAATGTTTCCATTTCTTTCAGTTGTGAAATAAGGATGATTGTTCCAAGAAGACTGCAAAGTAGGTATTCCATTTCGGTTTGAAGCCCAAGACTTTTCCTGAAATGGAGGCTTACAAAAACTCATCCCTAAAAAAGGCACATTGGGGATGCTTGAATCATTGATGTTGTTGCATGTTACTCCTGATGGACCACTATTTGGAGCTGGGGAGGGAGGATCCTGCAGCACAGTCTGCTCCTGGTGCTGCACCTGGAATTGTTGAAACCCCAACGATTTGCTTGTATCCGAACTGCCTGCACTGACTGTCTTGGGTCTGGACTCGGTCTCCGATCTACAAACAACACAAAACAAAAGTTACTGACTGTATCTTGAAGAACAGAGTAAACAGGACAAGTTTCAAATCTTCCCTATACCTGTCAGATGGCTGCTGAAACTGAGGGCTTAGTTCTGGTTCTATATTGCTTGGCAGGTTGGACTTAGTTTTCTCATCTGTGTGGTTCACTTCTTTATGTTTCTGTTCTTTCTTTTCTGTATTCGCTTTCATTTCTCCTTTAAGCTTGATGTATTTCTCCTTCAAAATTCTGTACTTATCTTCGACTAGACGCTTCTCACAACGTAACTTCTCTATGGACCTGAAAATGTATAAATGAGGATTGATGTGGGCAACAAAAAACGAAAGACTATCTCAACACACTGCAACTTTTGCTTAGTCATTACCTCAAATGGTCTGTGACTTCTCTGCTTCGCTTCCCATCACGATCGTCACGCAAATTGGCAATTTTTTCTTGATGATCCCGGCGTGCTTGCTCCTCCTAGAATAATTTTTAGAAAATTAACTCTGTGAGAATGTGAGTAAATTAAGACCAGCATTACAGCTCCACAACTAAGTACAAACCTCTCTCAGAAATTGCTCTCGTAATGTTTTCATATCAGCAGAGTGCTGCTCTCTGATTCTAAGCATTGCTGCTTGGTTTTCAACTTCTTGTGCAGCTAAAGATTGTTGATGTTGTTCAAGAATTTTTTGTTGCGAACAGTTTTGCTTGTGCTCAAGCTGTTCTCGTATCTGTTTCATTTTAAGGTCCGATTCCCGCTCCATTTGCGAAACTAAATCTTTGCATTTCTTTTCATTCTTCTTGGTTTCCTCTTCAAGGATCTTCTGTAACTTTTCTTGGTGGGCTTGAGTAATTTCTAATAGTTCTGCTTCAAATTTCATATTACACTCATGCTTTTTTTGCTCTAACCGAATTTTGTGTTCTGATTGCAGCCTTTCAATATCTTCATTCAGCTCCTTTTCCACATCCTTAACTATAAGGCTGTCTTTCAAAGATAGTGGTATTTTCTTGTCGGTTTCTTCAACATTCACTTCACTTTCAGACTGTTTTCCCTGAAGATATTCTGATGAGACTCCAGATGCACAGTTAAGGACAGAATCTTCACTAAGTCCGGTTCTTATTGGAGAAATACGTTTTGAAAATGAAACCGAATCATCGGAACCGTCAGTAACATTCCAGGCTCTTAGTGCACGCTCTCGATCTTCCACCTTTGTAGGTTCTTTTATTTGGTGTTTTATTTGCTGCAACTGCTGCTGTGACTGCTGTCTTGATAAAGGAGGTCTATATGTCTCACCATCCGTCTGTGATACATTCCAATTGCGAAATGCTTCCTCACGCGCGCGAGCCTCTCTCGAGGTAACAACATCCTCAGTAGGCCTGTAAGAGCTCTTCAACTTTTTGGTAAGTGATTCAACCAGTCGGGCCTCAGCACTCAATTGATCTTGTTCAGCAGGAGAAGCATTGTTTTTCATAGGGGAACTTGTTAAAAATTCATCAATGTCAGATAATTCCAAATTTTGCTTTGATAAAAGCTCGTTAGACTTTTCTAAAGATTTAATATCCACATCTAAAGAGCTCTCAAGAATTTTCTCATCACCTTTCAGGGCCTTTAGGGCACTTGCTGCATCCTCAGTTTGATCTACCTTCTCATTGTCAAGCAAAGTTTTTCTACATAAACCAAAATCACTGTCCAATTTTGCAAGATCTTTTAACTCTTCATCCAAAGATGGCTTCTTGGAAAACCAAGTTTCCTTGGCCCATTCTTCCAAAGGGCTCATCTGTCTCTGTTTGTTTGAGGATTGAGGGATTTGACTTTTATCTGTAATAGAATAGACTAAGTGTTATTTGAACCTTATTTTTTCTTTTTTCATGAACAGAAACCAAAATTGCTAAAATTAGAAACTTACCGCTAGGAAGTAATTTTAAGTCCTTCTCCAAACCTTCACTGCTGTTTGAATTTAAGTCGAGGTCTTCATCCTCTTCCTCATCCTCCACCTGCAACATATTAAATCAACAGAATAATAAAGTATTAAACTTACACAGTTTAATCAAGTTCAGTTTGAGGCATTGCATTTCACCTCTGATGGAGAGTCACTGTTGGAGGAATCAGACAATTTGAAAGAAATGTTGAGCTCTTTGTCAAGGTTGAAACGAACACTCTTCTTCTCTTCTTCAAGCTCTTGTTGTTTCCATAAAGCTTTTTCTGAAACTAAAAAAAAAAAAAGTTAGAGCACTTACTGAATGAAAACTCACACAGCAGAGTCTAGAGGCAAAGTATGACAAGGCATTGCACATCGTACCAGACATTTGCTGAGGGTCAACATCCCATAGACGTTTTTCAGCTTGAGGTGTTCTCAGTATACTGCGAGTTGATGATGCTGAGATGGTTGGAGAAGAGTTTAAGGATCTTACAGAGGATTTTATATTTCTGAAAGATAAATAAGAAATATTCATTAAAAACACACTCTGAAGTGGTGAAAAAAAAAAAAATGCATGTGCTTTTAATGTGCCAGCTTGGATACAGACCTTAGAGATGAATCCAGTGCATTTGGCTCTTTCAACAGTTCAAAATCCATTCCAACTATGTCACTCAAATTTGATAATTCTTCCTGCTTCTTCTCTTCATCCTTTTTTTTATTGGATTTCAAAAATACGGAACCACCACCTAAAACAATACACAAAAAAATGAAACACAGAGTATGAAATGTGGATATTAAGGAAAGGTCAGTAAAATTTGGAAGAAGGTGTAAAGTTAGAAAGTACCCGAAAGTGTGAACTCAGCACGACCACTTTTCAGGAAGCGATCAGAAGGGCGACTAGTGTCAATGGCTCCATCAGAATCTAGTCTTTTGGCCTGTGAGTCAATGTCAATTTTATGAACCTTATCAATGGTAAACCGGCCAATAATAGATGAGCTTGAAGGTTCCACTCTACGATCATGTGAGAGCACATTATTATCGAGAGATGCTCCATATTTAGTGTTTGTTCCTGATCTGTGACCTTGAATATCTTGAAGCGGCTCGCTGTCATCATCTATGAGCGATGAGTAATCATCCCATTCTGCCTTCTTACTCCGAATCTTGTCAGAATTCTGTGGCTTTGTACTTTGAGAAAACAGAGGTTTAGGAGTAAATATTGGCCTGAGATCACTTTTACCAGATAATGGCCTATGTCTATCTTTCCGTGATGAAAAACTTTCTTGATCTTTCTTAATAGTTCTCAATGGACTCAGGGCAGATTTTAATGCTGGAACCTGAAACCAATGAAGATTTCTATAAACAAACAAATCAAAACAACTTAGTTGCATTGACAAGAGCATCCAATTGAAGAACAATAGGGTCTTATCAAAGCAGTAAAAATTAACATACCCCCTGCAGCGAAAAATCCATTGGATTGTCCTTGAAGGAAGCAGAATTGTCTGCTTCTAGCCCAATAGATGCACCAGCCTCCTCAAAGCTTTTTAGCTCCTCTTTGATGGATGTTTTGGAGTCCTCCTCACCTACAGCAAAAGCATAACTCCTGAACACAAGAACAAAGAAAGAACTTGAGAATCTAAGACTTTAGAGATAGTACCAGCAGAACTCAGGCTTTCTGAACGATTCTTCTTGACAAGATCACGAAACTTGCTGTCAAGTGGGTGTTCCCATGATGTCTGTTTTGTCTTAAAGTTAAAATAGTAATAGCGTTTCGATTCTTGATCATATCTGAAATGAATAAATTATTTTTAGAATTATATTGAAATGATAGGATAAGGCAATATAGGCAAGAATACGCTCTGTGCATTTACAATGGAATCATACTTACACGGGCTTCCAGTTTTTCGGTAAAGGCTTCAGTAAGCCCTCTCTAGCCAGGGGGATCAGGTGCGACTCTGATGTAGGATCAATACCTATCCTGACAGCATACTCACGAACCTCTGAAAGCAAAATTGTACACAGACAAGTCAATTAACAAGCTGTAAAAATATCACGAATCATGTATCCATAACGTTTATTGATTCAAAATGTACAAAGATAACTTGAAAGCCACTCAAAGGGAGTGAGAATTACCACTGCAGGGTATTTCATAGTGACGGCATTTAGGAATGGCTCCGAAAGGATTAAAGAGCATAACAATGAAAACGTACCTTCCTCTGAGGGTTGGCTCCGCTCGTCGAAGACTTCTTCACAAACTAGAGATTTCAAAGACGGTGGGCCTGACATTGACATTTTGCATCTCGACGCGTCTCTACGACGGCATTCTCAGAGTATTCAAGTTCCGCAAAACGTGACGGCTGTTAGTGCACCGTCCGCGATCATATCAAAATGTCACGGACCTCCGAGCGCTCGTTCGGACGATTTTGACAGCCGACGGGTCGTGCGTAGCGTCCCCCGTCCCGTTCTCCGTTGTCCCGTTACTTTTCTTTCACCCTCCACCCCCTTCACACCTGCATTCACCTTAATTTTTCATATATTCTTCTGTTTTTTTTTTTTCTTTACGCATTTACGAAGACAAAGCGAATCTTTCGTTGATGTTACGTGCTGCCATAACATTTTAGGTGTTTGAGTTTGGGTGCATGTGGCTTTCGGCTCGTTGAAAAATCTTGTTCAACCCCAAAGTGCCAATTCATATTCTTTACAAATGGTAAATTTCTCATACTGGGAGGGATGAAGAAGGAGGCGGAGAAAAGAAGGAAGAAAAGAAAGCGACGAAGCCGAAAAGAAAGAGAAAAAGGCGAGAAAAGACGAACGAACGCATGAATGAAATGAAATACGGGAGAGAGAACAGAGAGGAGAGGAGAGTTTGTGCCGTGCTTGTGTTGAAATTGAAGGTGCCTAGCGTCGTCTGTACATTGTTTGTTTGTATTTATGGAAGGATATGTCACGTTCTCTCCGCTGCTTAGCATCATAATACCATTTCAAGGTGAGGAATGTTGCAGAATGAATGTCTTTTAAATGTCACATTGTGGAAAATTTATTATTTCTGCCCTCCGGAACCGCAGTTTGATTGGTTAAGATCGTCTCTAGGCGACTATTTCACGTTTCACCGCTTTAAACAGCGTCGTTGTTCACTCATGACCGTCGAAAATTGCATGTACTGTTGTCTTAATGCAAAATATTTATCAGAAGTCATGCAATTGTGATGCATGTAGTGTATGGTTTTTGGCACTATTACTTGCCCATGATTGAACGGTGAATTTGCTTTTTCCACTTTGTAGCCTACCATATCAAAATTGATCATTAGTTTAAATTCTTAAGTGTCAATGCAACCAGCATTGTCCTTTAAATAAATAAAAGCAACAAAAAGACTCTTTACATTAGCTCTCGTAATACTATTCTAGCCTGTAAGTCCTTATGGCTCTATTTTTGTCAGTTTGATGGATCGAGTGCTTCAAGCAGTGCGGATGGAAGCACTGGTCAATGACCTGTCCCATGCACTCGAAGAAACAACATGTTCGTCTGGCAATCGTAGAAGATGGGGCTTGTGTCGCCGATCACGGTCAACAGGAAATCTAAGTAAGTTTACTGCTATGTTGACGTATGTGGAGATGTGTGTTTGCGTGTGAGGCTTTCACTATAATTGTTTCCTTCAGATTTAACATTTCACATGACCCAGAGTGACGATTCAGACAGTATCAGTGAAGCACTCCTTAACAGAGAACGTGGACACTCAAGTCTTCATCAGGTTAGTGATTGAATGGTTCCTTTTCAAATTAAGCAGAAAATATTTTGATTGTGCCATTTTTAATGATGTTGCTTTGATTTACTTAGAGTGATTCAGATGACATGAGCCCAGCAAGACAGGTTGCTACTTTTAATCTTCAATCTCGACATGTTATGCCCCATCTTCATCTTGAATCTGATTCAGTGAATGAAAACTTTTCGCCTATTCGTCCAAGTACTCGGAGGTAATTGAAGAGTCTCTGAGAGGGTGATAGCTTCTCACAAATTGTGCTGTCATAAACTTTTCTCAAACTTTACAGGAGACGAAAGCTGAAAAGGATGGCAATAGACATAACTGAGCAGGCCGGCGCTTCAACCTCTGCTGCAATCCTGCCCGGTTCCCACGCTGTGCCAGTCATCCCTCATTTTTCTCGTTCCTTACCATCCAGGCCGTCAGGGCCTTTGCCATCCACTGGAGCCTTGTTCAAAAAAAGAAGAGTCCTTCGTCATTCATCAAATAGTGATGAAAATAGGTGAATACAAAAGATTTATCTTTCTTGTATGAGAAACCATTGGAGCTATCAGGTAAAATTTAAATGTTCATGATATTAATTTTGTGTGTGTGTGTGTGTTTTTTTTTTTTTAAGATTAAATACTGTACTTTGTGGCAAAAGAAAGCGAAGTTTACGAGACCGAAGTGGAGGTGACTGTGACATGCCAATGCTTGAGAATGGTATGGTAAAGTTTGTTACTTATTTTTTATCCTTTCCTCTTGTCTCCTTTGGAACTGTTTTATGGTCAGCAATTTATTTTTCAAGGTTTCAAAACTTATCTAAGGTCTTATATTTTTATTTTGCAGCTGGTTCAAAGAGCCACAAATCGAAGTCCAGAGGGAGGACAAGAGGTGGAGCACTAGTTAGCGAAAATGATGATTGTATGGAGTTAAGTGGTGGAGAATTTACCAGCAGCAGCCCTAGTCCCAGTAGCAATGAGTCAGACCCAGGTTTTTTTACCACTGATGAGGGTCGTGAAGGTACTTTTCAATGCAATCCAATTCTTTTAAATTGCACTTCAGGAAGTGAGTATTTAATTATTTTTTAAAATTTTATTTACAGGAGACGATGAGCACAGTGACTGGTATGGTGGAGATGGTAGAGGCTGGTGGGAAGAAGAAGAAGAGGGGAGATCATCTCCACTAAGTAATAGTCAAGGTAAAAACCTAGGAATAGCATGGACCTCTAAAATTAAATCGAAGTCTTTGCTTTTGCTGGATATTAATTGCTCTTTTTGGCGGGGTACTGGGTATTGGTTTCCAGATGGTGTTCAACAAGGTGCATTCCAAGCATTTTTCCATATGTCAGCTGATGCACGGAGGTCACTGCGTGAGGGAATGGTAATAACTTTGATCTACAACTTGCTGTCTTCCACGTACGCCTCTTAAATTTTTTTTCTTCTAAAAATCATGTTTTTGGTCTTATGATGTAGAAAGGACGTCAGATTCGAGCTGGACGACGGCGACTTCAGAACAATCGTGCTGCATTCACAGTGTTGACTTCTGCCAATGAAAAGCTCTCCAGATTTCTTCAGGACTCTAATCAGAGTGAACTTCGGTGAGCTATTCACATTACTGTGGCTTTCTTTTTTAATAATCAACATACCATGATGTGGGATGTTTTTTTTTTTTGTATCCATTTAGGCTTCACCCGATGAAAACTGATGAAAAGGATCAACTTGTTCAGTTAGCCAATTTGTATTCCCTCCAAATGCGACTTGAACCCACTCAAAGTAGTGGGCTTACTTGCCCAGTGCTTACGAAAACCAGGTGCAGTATTCTCATTGTACTTTTTAAATAAAATTATTATTTCTGATCCGGCTGATCACTCATAAAAAACGTTAACCTAAAATTTTAATTTGTTTTTTTTTTTTATCAGGGATACAGTGAGAGTTGAACAAATTTCTGGGATGTCGAGACGGCTGCATCCAGACTCAGGTCTCAAAAGAAGAAAATTGCCGCCCGGTGCCACCAGCAATATTCCGCAAAGTGGCCCTGGTAAGCAACATTAATTTATTATGCACTCATGCTCTCTTTTTTATTGTGGACTTTTCCTTTAGTTGTTTCTCTTCTGTTTAGATATTGTGGATACTACATCTACAAGTTCAACACGAAGCCTGGATCAACCAATATTTGCTAATGTTAATTTTTCTCATTCTACTGGCTGCCAGTCAAATTAGCCTCCTCAGAAGGTTTTTCCTGTCATTGTTTGCCAAGTGTTTTAATCATTTTTTTTTTTTTTTGAAATTTTGATTATTTATAATTTAATAGTTGTTCTTACTTTAGCTGCACAGTTCTGCACAAAAAGATAGCATTCAAAACATATCTAACCCCTATATCTTGTCAATATAAGTGACTCACACTGTACCCAATTTCTTCCATTGTTCATAGACTGACCAAAATGGAATGATATATGTAGTCTTTTATAGTGGAGTTCCTCAATCTGGCAATAGACTTGATTGTTTAATGTGGGTTTGTAGCTCGCTAGTGCAAAGTTTTCTCTCAATTGGTGGTTGCGGTTGGTGTGTGGGGAATATCTGTGAAAAAAAATGTTCACTTTCTACTCCTGCCTAGCTTTTGTAAAGAATCAGCTGTATCTGCATTTTTTAAAAATTCTTCCATTACAAACAAAAACAAAGAAGGTTGTGATTCTTAACTGAACTTGATTAAATGTATGGTGTCATGTGCAATGAACTTCTTTGTTGTTCCTGTAACGACGTTGATACTTTCTTGCATCCAGACTTGGTCAATTATTGTTCCGTTGGCATTTATTTGGCATCTGTTTCGTTTGAGAAATAAAACCTAAAACCACTTTTAAGGGGAAGAGATGTTTCAAATACAATGGCTAACATTTAAGAATTTGTGGACTGTTTTACTCATTGTGAGCACACCAGTCTATTCAAAAATATTAATTGCTTGTATGATGTTTTACTCTGATTTTTAGTGTTTGCCAAGCCTGTAATCTTTTTAAGGACCACACACAATTGGAAATTGTGAAAGTTTGTTGTCTTGTTTTAGATTCTGATTGTAGACAGTATTTATTTATCACCTTTCTTTGGTTTGTGTTGTGTTCTCATTCTCACATCTGTTTATAGTCATTTGTCATCTTGAAAAGGTACTTTTGTCATAGTTATCATACATTTCTGAAGTTTGCTAGGTTTATGGGGAAGACACTTTTTGTACACCAGATGTCGCTCTTGGCAACTGGGGCAACTTTAAATAGATTTTAGTGTATGTTTAACTATTTGGGTTTGTGTATATTATTTATTGACTTTTTACTGTGTTGAATCAAAAATTATATGTATTCAAGGCATCAAGCATTATTCAAAATAAATTGTTGCTCTGTGCCAAAGTGCCAATCAAAATTTTCTACAATGTTTTCAGCCACCAGTTGATATGTTAATGTCATTTTTTACTTATCATTTTACCTAAAAAGAAACTGCCTTCATTGCCAAAATACAAAGTGAAACCTTAGTTAATGTTTTTGGAGGCCAGTGTTCATGTATGCAAAGCAAACTATCAAATAAATAATTATAAAGCCATTGCAAACAAACCATGAACATGACTTGCTTACTTCCTCCTCCACTTGTGGGCGTCAAATTGGGCAACGCGCACCACACTCCGCCAGGAGGTAGGCGAAGGGTGCGACGTGGCTCCCTCCGAAAAGGAAACAAGCCGCCCCAGAGAATGTGAAACAAAAAAGGAACGTCTTTCAAAAATGAAAAGGGCGACTTGACCTCAACGAAAGAGGAGCGATGCGTCGGGCACCAAGGGATGGGGGCGCGATTGGCGGCCTGCCAGTACAATGGAAGGGCTGGAAGGGCACGCTGGCGCTAGCTGGCGCCAAGAGGCGTTGCGGCGTTGCTCAGAGGAGACGAAACCGAGGGAAGGCCTAAGTGGAAGGGCCGGGTCGCGAAGGGCTCTCCCGGGGCCTGGAGGGGGTGGGGGAAACGCGTGAAATTGATGTTTCACTCGCTGCACCGCCGCCCCACGCCGCTCGTGCTATCTCCGCGTGGAATGCATAGGGCGCGGCGGGTCTGCGCGCGTTCCTGTGGCTGCCAGCTCTGCCTGGGCGGCCAGGGCAGGTGGCGGTTGGTAGCGGTTTGTGGCCGGATGCCTCCCCCTGCCCTGTCATTGCCATATCGCCACTACGCGGTGCCACTGCCGTTATTAGCCGCTGGCGTCCGGTCTGCCTGGCTGCCCGCCTGGCCGCCTGGCCGCCCGCCTGGCTGCCTGCTCCGCACGCGGCCCGCGCCGGGCCTGCTCGGCGTGCCATGCCACATTACGCCGCGTGCATGTGAATTCCCCTGCTTCCCCGCCCCTTCCCCGCCGCCTGCAGGCTGTGCGTCGCGTACGCGGGGCTGTCCCTGTCGCTGTGTGTGCGACCGCCCCGCCCCGCCGCGCCCCGTGACCGCCCCCGCAGCACCGCGCGGGAACAAACAAGACACGCCGAGGGCCAGGGGCGGCCAGGGGCGGCTAGCGGGGGTAGTGCGGCGCAGGCGCGCGAGCGGCGGGGCGGTGAGGGCGAGGGTGGGCGGCAGTCCGGTGGGGGTGTAGGTTGCGAGGGCTGATATGGCTCGGCTCGGCTCGGCTTGGCTCGGCTCGGCTCGGCTCGGCTCGCGCGGAGCACCGCTGGGGGCATGGCGTGCGACGGGCCCGACGGGCCTTACTCGCCAGTCGCGGGGCTCCTGTTGTGAAAGTCGGACTCGGAGGGGCTCGCCGCGCGGCCCTGCGCCACGCGCCACGCCGCGACCGCGAGACCGCGAGAGGCGGCACGACGCGCCGCACGTAGCGTAGACGGGGGCCGCGGCACCGGGCCGATACGCCCGCGCGAGCGTGGGTGCGTGTGTCTGTGTGTGTCCGTGCGCGATTGTGTGTTTGTGTTAGTGTTGCCGTGCGTGTAAAGCAAGCCGTGTGACATGTCGTGTCCGAGTCCGGCATGCCCCTTGGATACCTGCAACCTGACCCTGTCGGCGCGGCGGCCCGCGCCGTGACTCCAGCAAGCCGAGGTGAGGACCTGGGTAAGGGCCAGGGTGAGGACCCGGGTGAGGACCATGGCGAGGACCCGGGTGAGGACCATGGCGAGGACTTAAATGGGGACCAGGGTCGAGTGAGGACATGAGCGAGGACCAGGGTGAGGACCAGGGTGAATATGAAAAGATGAGGGCAAGGACACAGGTAAGGACCAGAGTAAGGGCCAGGGTAAGGACACGAGTGAGGGAGGACTAAGGTAAGGGCCATAGTACGGACTGGGGTGAGGAACAGGATAAGAACCAGTACCAAAGTAAGGATCAGGTCTAGGGTAAGCACCAGGGTGTACGGTGAGGACTTGGGTGAAGCGGATACCCGCCGCAGGACCGCACAGCCCCTCCACGCCGTGGCGCCTCAAACGAGGCTCTGCTTCTCATCCGCGCCACGCAATGCCTCGGCAATGCCGCGCTGCCTCGCCTTGGAGGGAAGTCCCATTCCGGCCCAAGCTGTGGCCAGTGTGTGAGCCGCGTTGTTGGTTCAGCTCCATTTAGCGTTTTCGGGGTCAGTGGGAGTCGAACCGCCGTCGCGCCGCGCCATTGGGTCCGGACGGTCTGGACGGGGTAGAACTGCCCCCTCGGGTCGGACTGTGTGTACCGAATTAACGAAGCTATACGGTGGCTATTCAGCGCCGCACTATTAGACCGGACAAACCGCCCTGAGCTCCATGGCGGGCACGGCACGGCATGGCCCGGAACTGGCGCGGCACCGCGGCACTGGTAATTTGGAAGCACGAGGCGCGGGGCACGGCACGGCTTCGTGCAGGACACATGCCAGGCGGGCAGGGCGGGCAGGCAGGGCGGGCACACGAAAACGACACGATACAGGAGTCGCAGCACAATGGCAGGGGTAAGCCCGGGAGGGGGACTGGGGCTGGGGACCTTTGGAGCGGGGCAGCCACAACAAAGGGACGGGGTAGTGAAGGGCGGGGCTGGGCGGGGCGGGGCGGGGCGGGGCGGGGCGGGCGGCGAAAGGCAAGGTGGGACCGCGCGGGGCTAGTCGCACAGTTTGCCGCAAACAGTGCGAAATGGAACAGCAAATCCTGATTGACTCTCGCGGTTTTGTCGACGTGCACCCGCTTTTCCGCGCGTCTGTGTGTGTGTGTGTGTGTGTCTGTCTGTCTGTCCGTCTGCCTGTCTGTCTGCCTGTCTGTCTGCCTGTCTGTCTGCCTGTCTGTCTGTCTGTCTGTCTGTCTGTCTGTCTGTCTGTCTGTCTGTCTGTCTGTCTGTCTGTCTGCCTGTCTGTCTGCCTGTCTGTCTGCCTGTCTGTCTGCCTGTCTGTCTGCCTGTCTGTCTGCCTGTCTGTCTGCCTGTCTGTCTGTCTGTCTGTCTGTCTGTCTGTCTGTCTGTCTGCTCGTTGCTCCTTCCGCTCGTGTGTCTGTGGAGTCAGTCCGTCCGTCCGCCCGTCGTCTTCGCGGCTCTCTGTTTGCCGTCTGCCCGTCTGCCTGCCAGGCCCTGCCTGTCTCACTTGCAACCCCTTCTACCTCCGCACCTTCGCTCTTCGCTCATCTCTCTCTAAGCTTCCCTCACGCGCTGCCGGCGCAGCCCTACTAGTTTTTCTCCTCGGCGTTCTTTTTCATTTTCCCGCGGCTTTGGGTGTCGCGCGGCCTTCCTTGGCCTTGCCGACGTTTTCATCCCCCCCCCCCCCATTTCCTCCCAAGAGCTCCACACCGCGCTCCCCGCCGCCGACGACGATGACGACGTATTGGAGGTCATTTCGGAACAAAACCAATCCGACCGAAATAACGAATAACGACACACGAGGAAATAAAAACGGCGGCGCTTTTGATTAAGGCGAATGCGCGCGCAAATTCGGACTGCCAGCAAGAAAAACAACGAGGAATTGCCACTAGACTCACTCCCCCTCCTCTCTCTCTCTCTCTCTCTCTCTCTCTCTCTCTCTCTCTCTCTCTCTCTCTCTCTCTCCACTCTGCCGCCTGTGTGCTTCTAGCGCTCACTGCTCAGCCAACAGGACGAGTAGGGCTACACGGAAAAAAATCCGTGGTCGTGGCGACCGAATCTCGATCGCCACGACCATCTTCTTCGATAGCTTGGGGGACTACCGGATTTCTGATCGTGAGAACCATGTCACCGAGCTGAAACAAGCTGGCCATCAGAACGACTGTGTTGATTGTGACAACCAAGAATAAGGTATCCTAGAACCGTCGTCCATCAGTTGCAGGGAAGGTATGATTTTAGGGCCCCTTCGAGACGACCAGAAAGTTGGTTGAGAGAACCAACTCATCTGACACTTAAGCCGATATCTCGTTCGTGGGGAATTTCTATGCAACGCTCAGCAGACTCGGTTTCAACTTGGTCTGTGGTCCTCGCAACTGTACACTGTGATCCGAAACTGGCATCACAATCAAAAATGAATGAGACGGCACAGCGAAGACGCCGCACCGTCGTCCTCTGCCCGAGTGAGCAGAAGACAAATGATTGGGCATCATGCCTGAACCTAACCTAATGACCGAACGTAGACGCCAGCGAGAGGCGACATGAAAATGCGTTCTTCTCGACTTCAGTGTAATATTTTGTTCAGAACTTTCAGCTGACGGCTAGAGAACATATTTACCGAGGCAACAGACAACATTATTTGCGAAAATTATTTACTTGAGTAACATAAATCGGAAATACTAATAGGCGAACGGGCACGCCGTCACCAAGCGGCAGGTCCGTGAAACCTCGACTCTCAGAACCGAAGTTCCTTGAGCAGAGCGGTCGGTAGTGACGATTGGCTCGGGCCGACCAAGTGGGTTGTAAGAGGATAAATACGCTAGTTGGTTGTCTGAATCAAGCCGTTCGATGCCCACAATCACTGTAACGACAACTGAGTACATCCGATCGTGACGACCAACGGCTTTTTTTCCGTGTAGGGCAGGCAGTCGCTGAAGCCGCCCGCCCCGCCCCGCCCCGCCCCGCCCCGCCCCGCCCCGCCCCGCCCCGCCCCGCCCCGCCGCGCCAGGGCTGAGCAAATAGAATGGGAATAGAGGCGGCGTGGCGTCCCCGCGGGAGGCACGCCGGGCACGGTACGCGCTTACGCGGCGCGCTCGGAGGCGAGGTCCTTTTCCAGGACTCCAGCCAGCGGGGCAGCAGGGCCTTCCAGCGGGTCACCACTCCGGGGGCCTTGCCTCTGGCCTGCCTGCCTGCCTGCCCTGCTGATGCCATTCCGGCTTGTTTTTGCGACCGCGCCGCGTCGCCCCGCACAGTGTGGCGCACACCACGCCCAGCACGCCGCGCCGCGCCGCGCCGGGCCCCCCGTCGGTGACAAACACGTGACGTGACACGGGCCTCGGGGAGCAGAGGGGCGCGGCGGCGCGGCGGCAGTGGTGCGACAGTGTGCCAGCCGGGCACGCCGCGCACGCCGGGCAGGCACGAAATGTCTTTTTCTCCTTCCGCGAGCACGGCGAGCACGGCCACTCTCCCCCTCCACTCTCCACCTCCACGCAACATCACGCGGCGGCGTGGCCGAGGCCCGGCCATTCCCTGGAACAAATCCCTCCGTCCTCCTTTCATTAATCCTCGCGTTTTCC